CTTCAGAGGCTGTCCCAGATGTCCAACCTGGGGCAGACAACAACAACAACAGAGACAAAGGCCAGAAACGCAAAGCAGGCCACAAACAGCTCCCACTGGGCTATCCTACGCCCAGGCAGCAAAACCCCAGGAGAATGAGAAAACCATCCTCATCTCGAAACAACATCAAGACGGCCTAGTGAACTCCGTAAAGGAACTACTCACTAGGGTAGTGAATGAAGCGATAAAAGACTTCAAGTTGGCACTGAACTAGTGCAAACTAATAGGGGATACTTGAGGATAGGCTCCTGGAATCCAGGGGGTATAAGGACCAACCAGAATATTCTGGACGAACTGGTCAATAGATACGAAATGGACGTCGTAGCCATTCAAGAAACAAAACTCACGAACAACGTTAATATCAAATTCCCAGGATACGACGTATATAGGAACGATAACACAGCGAGAGCAGGTGGCACAGCAATACTTGTGAAAAAAGGCATAAAACACACTAGATTATTAACACCGCAACTAGTAACTATGCAAGCCACAACAATAAGATTAGAAATGAGGCAAGGAGAAGTCAGAATTACCTCCGCCTACGTAAGACCGCAAGATCCGCTGATCGACGACGATCTAAATATGTTCCTAAACGACGAACCCTCTATCATCATAGGAGACCTAAACGCAAGATCCCCTAACTGGAATGATAGAGCTACGAACAGAAATGGAAGACTACTAAACGCGTACATAGAAAATAACGAAGAAGTCATGGCAATGGGCCCCACAGACCCAACGCATTACCCAGGTAACGCACTTCCAACGCATATAGACATAGTAGTTGCAAAAAACCTAGGACTACAAACAGAACTACAAACACTAAATGAAGGTACAACTGACCACAACCCCATCCTATTAGAACTAGGAACGTGGGAGGAAGAAAGTACAACCAAAAAGATCAAAAAGAAAACAAAGTGGACAAACTTCAAGAGACTCGTGAGCACCGGAATAAACATTGTCCCAGTGATAAACAATCCACGAGAAATAGAAGATAAGGTCCTAGAGTTGGAAAACATCATCCAACAAGCAATCAGGAATAGCACTACTGAACAGGAAGTAGTAATGCAAACGGGAAGATTCAAGGATATACCTCAAGTAATAAAAGACTTGATAAGGGAAAAAAACAGAGCTAAACAGACAGCAAGAAGAACAAGAAACCAAGCAGACAAAAACAGAGCAAATCGATTAAACAGAGAGGTCAAAACAGCACTACAACAACACCGTAGTGAAAGCTGGGAAAACCACATAAGGGACATGGAAGAACAAAGTCCAAATATGCAAAATATTTGGAAACTGCAAAAAATCCTACGAAGTGACAGAAAACCAATTCCCCCACTACACGGAGAAAATGGTATAGTATATAGCACAGAGGAAAAAGCAGAGGTAAAGAGGAGTACTCTCGAGAGAGAGTGTACATTAAATTACCACCCAGACGAAGACATCGACTTCATAGAAGAAGTCGAAAGACAAAGAGAAAGACCGGAAAACCCAAACGAAATTATCCCTCCAACAACACCGGAGGAGATAAATGAGCTAATCAAGAACAGCTCACCAAAAAAGGCTCCCGGTCCAGACCAAATTACGAACAGAGCTCTAAAATATCTACCAGCAAAAGCCATTGTTTATCTAACAAACATCATTAACGCAATGCTAAGGTTCAAAAAATTCCCAAATAGATGGAAAGAGGCCCATGTCATAATGTTACCGAAGCCCGGAAAAGACAGCACATTCCCACAAAACTACAGGCCGATAAGCTTACTACCAGCAATCAGCAAAATAGTAGAAAGAGTGATACTCAGCAGACTCCAAGCTGAAACAGACAGACTAAACATCATACCAGAAGCCCAATTTGGCTTCAGATCAGAACACTCTAGCGAGCTACAAGTACTCAGACTAACAGAGTACATAGCAGCAGGATTTAACGACAGACAATATACAGGAGCTGCATTCCTGGACGTAAGTAAAGCTTTCGACAGAGTCTGGCATAAGGGACTACTATACAAAATGAGAGACTACGGGTACAGCGGAGCAATGACAAGGCTGATCTCTTCTTACTTGAGCAACCGCAGTTTCAGAGTCCGGATAGGACAAGTCCTATCCGAACTCGGGAACCCGGAAGCTGGAGTACCACAGGGAGCGGTACTGTCACCTCTGCTGTACACGATATACACAGCAGATATACCTAGAACACCAGGTACATTATTAAGTCTCTATGCTGACGACACAGCGATAGCGGCCAAACACCGAAATGTAGACATAGCAGTCACCAATCTACAGACAGCGTTAGACGACATTGAAGAATGGAGTCTAAAGTGGAAAATTAAAATAAATTCAGACAAGACACAAGCTGTACTCTTCCAAAAGAGGCGAGAACAACCAGAAGAACAGGTCACAGTGCAAGAAAATCCCATTGAGTGGAAAAGCGAAGCGAAATACCTCGGAGTAATAATGGACAAAGGACTAACCTTCAATAAACACGTAGAAGCCACAGTACAAAAAGCCAACATGGCAAGGGCCGCAATAAGAGGCCTAGCGGGAAGGAAAAGCAAATTACGCATAAAAACCAAAATAAGACTAATAAACAGTATAGTCCTTCCTATACTGACATACGCATCACTTGCATGGGGACATATATGCAACACAACGAAAAAGAAAATACAGGCACAACACAACAAAAGCCTAAGAGAAGCGGTAAACGTACCAAGATACGTAGCTGAAAGATTCCTGTTCAGAGAGTTACAGCAAATCAGAGTGACTGATACAATGAAAGAAAAAGCTAGGATAAAATTCGCAGAACTAGAGAACCACCCTAGTCACATCCTACGAGAGATAATGAGGTATGACGCTTTCCACAGATGGAAGCACAAAAGACCAAAACAACAAATTATAGACTAACGCAAAACCAGAGGGAAAAATAAAAAAAACCCCCAATAGGGACAAAATATTACAAAAAGCCCAGAGTGAGAAGAAAATCTAATCTAATCAAAACACACACACATAAAGAAGACAGTTCGTAGCTCAAATCACCCAGAATATCGCAAATCGCCTCATTCACAGTGGGCCCTGTTGCTCACACTAGGATGCAGTCTACATTGTGGTAATGTATAATATTTAAATATTTTCTTTATTATAGTGTAGACTATGTACTAATTATGACTTTTCTTTTCACAGGCAACCTACAAAAAAATCACAAAAAACACAAAAAACGGCCTCCGCCACCAAAAAAAATTAAAAAACACTAACAAAAACCGGCTTCGGCCACCAAAAAAACTAACAAAAACCCCAAAACCCGGGCACGTAGGGCCCAACCCCTTGAGCACCAAGTCGCCGAGCTGAGCCGGGACTCAGAGCGGAGACTTGAGGCCCAAGTAAGCAATTTTAGTTCGCGGATAAGCTACATTAAGATAAACAGGAATAAAGCGGAGATGCGCTGTCCTGAGTTTTCACATACGGTTAGGAAACCATGTTGGGGTTCAATTACCCAGGACCTCCACATGAAGAGCACTTGGCTGATTGTTGTGCCTCTATAGCGAATCAGATTGCTATAGGGGGGAAAGGGATGGTCTAGAGCATTGGAGCACGGTGGGGTGATTCCTGTTTTTTAAACACGAATTAAAACACCTTGCTCCAATGAATTGTTACACCCGATCGTACTACCTGGGTGAACATGTCTCATAGGCTGGGTTCAATCAAATTGCTTGCTTGCTTGCATATGGGACATTTTCGGATTTACGGTCAGTCTGGTTTTACCCTTAGAGGGTAGCCCCAGGGCTCTTTACTTTGAAGGGCTCTGAAAGTTCTAAAGACTCTGACGCTGAGTTTTTTTCTACTTAGAAATTGTGAGTTTTATTTCTAAAGTACCTACAACACCTACAGCATTGTCTTTTTCAAGACAATGCCCAAATCAGAGCGTTCCGGCTAACTACGCAATATTGCACAATATTGCACAATAGTTAGAGATATTATTAGTAAACATGGTTATAGCACCGAGATGCATTTCCATTCCCTACGTTTATTAATAATCGCCCGGATACGACATTATTCATAGGTAACTAAACGCAACGGACTGGAAACGCAACGTGCATGATAATATGCCACGACCTTTACTCCATATGTCATTGAATATTTTTGTTAGTTGTTGAGTAACGTCGGTATGAAATAGCTTTATGAGTTCAGCATATGCATTGTAAAGTCCAAGAGCTTTGCCATCTTTTAGTTGTGATATTGCTTTTCCCACTATTACCCCTAATAATAACCCTTCCATATTCACGGTTTCTGTACTCACAGCATATTTACAGAACATATATATTCACTCTATTGGCCTTTTTATTGATACCTAACTGTATTTAATTGATAATTTAATTATATAATTCTCTAGAACTTTCGTTTAAAGAATATATAAAAAGAGATAAGCAATTTAATAAACTCTTTAAATAGCATCGTATAAAATAATCTTTATTTACAAATCACTTGAAAAGATTGGAATTTTAGTCAATAAAAAAATCAAGATCAACGAAAATTAGAACCACATATTTTGTGCATTATATGAATTTTCATCGAAAATATTTATATGTAAATGATCTTAAATATTTCAAAACACACCAAAATCAGAAAACCTCTAAAAATCAATCTACAACTGAGATTTTAGTTTAATAGTTTTGAATATTACATTTTATATCAACTAAACCCTGAATTTTAAAAGATTTAAACCTGTTGTATAATTAAACATTTTTTACGAATCAACAACAAGCTAACCGATAAATTAGCATGAATCATTATTCAAAACAAAGATCTTGACATATCCTAGATACGCACTATATCCTGAGACAACGAGTACAAAGTGCAATGAAAGGAGCATCAACAATCATGAAAGACACGGGCAGCAAAAAAGGAAAGTCGAAGAAGCATCCTTATTTGTTTTAAAATTGCACATCTTAATTTCTATCAAAAAATAATCATACCTGCCATGTTCCTAGCCCCACGATGGGGATTTTTACACCTCCAATCATTGTCAGAGACATTTTTTTGTTGTGTTGATAATATAGTTAACTAGAGACAGCGACTATAGAACCGTAGGAATGAAACTATTACATAATGATTCATATCCACTTTATTTCGCTGTCTCAGGTACAGTAGATTATAATTTTTATTTTATTCGCGTTAAATGCAGAACCGGAGTTAGGTTCAATATTTAATTAAAAAAAGTGATACAGTAGGCGGTACTATAGAGTAGCGCGAAGTTTTATATTATACGTTCTGTGTATTTAAAATTTAAGTAATATTTATAAAATTGAATAAAGTATATAATAATGCACTCTTCTCGTGGCGTAAATGGACTCTTCCACCTGTTTACTGTGACGACTGATTTCGCAAAACGTCATATTTAATATATGCTGCTTCAGAAACCTCTTTCAAAGTATATATATGAAAATTCAACGTAAAACATTTTACTAGTAACTCTTTTTGTACTTTTTCTTTTTCAAATCAAATGAATTTTGTGGCACCATTAATTTAACACATTATTTTTAAAAAATTTTTCCTCTTATCACTTTTTTCAAAAAACAGTTTTTATTGAGTTACGGCTCTTTTCATTAACCTTGAAAAAATTACGTGCAACTAAATAAATGACTTAAATGAATTAACAAGTACAAAAAATGTCTATAACCTCTATAAATATGATATTACAATAAATGTTCAAAATGACCCCCATTTTCTTCAATACACATTCGGTATCATTTAAATAGAAAAAAACCGAATGGTCTGAAAAATCTTATTATTCTGACGAAATTGATTTGCAGCTTTAATTATTCTAACCCCAATTGTTGTTCGTCCTTCATTGTTACAGAAAACACTTTCTCTTTTATAAACCCCCAAAAGCAATAGTTCATGGGGTTGTGACTTGGACTTCTGGGTGGCCAAGAAATAGGTGCGTCACGACCCCTTCCAATCCACCGATCAGGATACTGCCTGCAAAGGTATTCCCGGACTTCATTACTGTAATGCAATGGAGCGCTATCTTGTAAAAACCATATATTTTGCCTTATTGCAATATTCACTACTTTCAAATAGTCTTGTAAATCGTTTGCCAAGAACTGCAAATAATTATCACCATTTAAATTGTTGGGAAGAAATACTGGGCCTATTAGATTGTTATCTACAATTCCTGACCAAAAATTAACTTTGAGAGTCCTTTGGCGATGAGTCGTTTTTTTGGCGTGAGGATTTTCGTCGGCCCAAATGTGCTCATTATGATGATTTGTTATTCCATTTCCACTGAAGGTAGCCTCGTCGGTAAACAAAATATTTCTAATAAAATTAACATTTCGAGTGTTTTCCATTAACAACCACTCGCAAAATCCAATCCTCTTAGGATAATTTTCAACCAATAACTCTTGAACCGTTGTTAAGTGATAGGGTTTAAGCAGCTGATCCATCAAACGCCTCCAAACCCTTACGTGAGGAACATTTAGTTGAGCAGCTTTTACCCTTGTACTTGTTCCAGGGACTTCTTCAATTATTTCTAAAATGTCCTCATTAGTTGCATCCATTATTGGACCACCACTATTGCCAGCAACTTGCGGTTGGAATGTACCCATTTCCCGTAAACGACAATCAATGATTAGAAATAATCGACTATCGGGTGTATTTCGATTGGGGTATTTTACTGCATAACGCCTTGCGGCTGCCGCACTATTTCTTTGACATTCACGTAAGATATTCCCGATAGTTTATTCAAATCGTAATTTAATCTGATCCAACTTACCCAAAATTAAATGCATATCTGCCATTTCCTGAAATGTGTAGGCCATTGTAATATCAACATTTTTAATATTAATCTTATTCACACAATAAATGATAGCTTCAAATTATTGACTACTATTGATGTAACTGTTTGTAATTATTGTATCCGTAGAAACTAATTGTAATTAAATTAATTAATTAATTAATTAATAATTGTAAACATTCAAAGAAGAACTAAAATTATTATATACAAAACATTGCTGAGACCGGTCCTCACATATGGAGCAGAAACATGGACACTAACGCAGAAAGATGAAAGACTTTTGGGAATATTTGAGCGTAAAATACTCCGCAAAATATTTGGAGCTGTAAACGACCAAGGGCAGTGGCGCAGAAGATATAATTTTGAATTGTATCAGCTCTTTGATCAGCCAGATGTCATAACGTTCATTAAAACACAGCGACTTAGATGGGCTGGACACATAATACGAATGCCAGAAAATACCATTGCTAAAAAGCTAACCACAGGAACACCTGTAGGAAAAAGAAGCAAAGGCCGACCGCGAATTAGGTGGTTAGATGGAGTAGAAACCGACTTACGAATATTAAAAATCAGAAGATGGCAACATGTTGCCAAAAACCGAACAGAATGGCGACGAATCTTAGAGCAGGCCAAGATCCACAGAGGATTGTCGAGCCAAAGATGATGATGATAAGAGGCAAAAAAGTTTTAAAAATAATGTGTTAAACTAATGATGCCACAAAATTTATTTAATTTGAACGTACTCAAAAGTTTGGGAGGATTTAGGGCAGCACAGCCACTCAAAGGGCTGTAACTTTTTTTGCCTAGACTTTTGTACTAAGGTATGGATTTAATCAATTTATTTTTGTCCCCGAAAAGCGTGATTTAGCTTATGACATACCTTTTTGAAACACCTTGTATGCCACAGTAAACACTAATTTTGTATAATAATATACTAAATTATTCCATAAAAATGTTTTATTATCTAAATGAAACCAGCCAAACTTTTATTGTTATTAATTTCCTGGAATTACGATACCATTATTTTTAAAGTTCAGATATCAAGGGAATTCCTACACCAGCCTAATTACATAATTACTATATTAAATTGTTGTTAAAAAAGACTTTGATATATATAAAAATCTAAACCAAAAACAAATATTTTTCCAATAGCGCGGCATATCATTATTTTACCACAAACCATCATGTTGTCGAAACGAGCGCTTCGGTTGAACTTTACATTTGTAGAAACTGCCAAATATTCCACAGCGACTAACCGAGAAAATTACTATAAAAATTTGATTGCCTCGCACAATGACGATACGAATCCAGTGGGATGGGAGAACGCGAAACCGTTCGAGAGTATGCCTGGACCAAAACCTTTGCCTGTGCTCGGAAATATGTGGAGGTTTTTTCCCGGAGCCGAACTTTATAACATAAACACGGCCAAGATGTTATTAATGTAGGTACATTATTTTTTATATTAACCGTTTACTTGTAAATATAATAGACTGGTCTTGATTTTAACATGTTAATTCTTTTTGTGATATCTGATAACTTCAAAGTACCTGTCCATACATTATTAAGACTTCGTGTTGCTCTTTTTGCTTGTCTAATTCTTTTCTTGAGTTACTTTTCTTGTCATTCTTCTTCTTCTTTTTCTTCCTCTTTATAAGCAATTTTGCTTGTTCATTGGTGGATTAATACCTCTAAGGAAAGGTGTCACTCCATCTTTTGCGCTTTTGCACGCTCGTCCTATACTTCTGCCGATTGGTGACTCTTGTTATTTTGACGATACGGGTCTCCCCCATTCTGCTTATGAGGTTATTCCATTTTTTTTTCTATTTTGTGTCCATTCATTTATACACCGTACGTTACATTTTCTTCTAATCTCTTCCCTTGTCTTTCGATCTCTCAGCATATTTTCTGTAATTCTTCTCAGTACTCTCATCTCTGTTGTTTACAGTAGCCTTTGTGTTGTGGCTGTATCAGGTCTTGTTTCTGAGGCATATGTCATCATTAGTCTTAGTCTTACACTGACTTTATAAATTTTTGACTTCATCTCAGTGTTAATGTGTCTATTTCGCCGTATAATGTTATTATAATAGACTGGCATCATGCCAGTCTATTTTTTTTTGTACTTGATCTCTTACTTCTTTGTCCAGGTCTCCATAACTAGACAGTGTAATTACCAGGTATTTTATTTCCATTACTTTTTCAACACTGATGCCATTAATTTTTATTTACACCTGGTTGGTTATTTGCTGACTACTATTGCTTTAGTTTTCTGAGATGAGATTTTCATTTTAAATTCTTTTGCTCTTATGTTAAATCTGTGGACCAGTCTTTGCAGACTATCTTCATCTTGGCCTATCAATATTGCGCCATCTGCATAATAGAGTAAATTTATTTCTTTGTTTCTCATTCTGTATCCTCTTCCTTTGTTATCGCTTTTGATGATTTTATCAATAATCAAATTGAAGAGCATGGAGCTCAATGAATTATTCCTCCCTTGTCTTATCCTCCACCTATTTCTATAGGGTCTCTAAGTTGTCCATTTATTCTGACTTCCATTTTGGTGTTTTGGTAGATGCTTTCGATAGTTTTTATAATATTCAGGAGAACTTCTCTATTCTACAGAAGATGGATTACATCTTTGAGTCTTACTCTGTCAAACGCTTTCTTTAGGTCAATCAGACACAGAAATGCTAGTCGATAATACTCTAGTGATTTCTCAATAATTTCCTTTATTACAAATATTGCATCTGTTATTCATCTGCCAAACTTATCCTCTGATTTATTAGTACTTATAAAATTTTAGTTGTAAGTGTTAGGGTAGTATTTAACAAGTTTATACCTCTGTAGTTTTCTGGACGTTTTTATCTGCTTTTTTGAATAGTAGAATTAATTTACTCGTTCTCCATTCCTCTGGTATTTTATTGTGTTTTATAATTTTATTAATTTATGTTGTTAATTGTTTTGTCATTACATTTCTTGTTATTATTTACTGAAATTTCTTAGTTATTTTCAGTACTTGTGTTATCTCCTTTTTTTAAAAACAATGGAATACACGCCATTTTTCATTCACGCATCGTTCGGAAATGCCTTTAAGACTTTTGTAAGATCTGAAAGTTACATTTTGATTCAATTCTGCCGATATTCCCTATGAACCCCAAGTTTACCAGTCTTTAAACTCTTCACCACTTTTGTCAAAGTTCCCATGTCCATACTTACTAGATCGCCTTATATTTCCAAACCTGTTTTTACACATCATTTTTCAAATATTCTTTCCATTGGTTGAGAGAGAGAGAGAGGGAGAGAAATAGTAAAAAATTCACTTTTCCACTAGCACATGTTTTACCGTAAGGAGTGAACGGAACTAATCACAAAATGGGCGTTCTTCTTTCTTGAATAAATTTTGCTGAGAAAACTAGGTATGTCCAAGTCGTAAACGGAATATAATAATTGCTTTCGTCTGGATACCTCTGGTGGTTGCCTTGGTCCAATCTTATTTTTTATCTCCTGAAGCTTTGATGGTGTGGATTTCCATTTATTGTTCCAGTTCTCGAACAGGTGCTTTATGAAATAGCTTTTTAGATCCATACTTACAGATTGGGGTGATATGGGGATACTGTACATAGCTTCTTTGGCATTTTTGTCTACTGCTTCCTTACCTGCTATTCCAACATGTGATGGGACCTAGAGAAACTTAATGTTTAAAGCCAATGGATGCTGCGTGTATATTTTCCTGATTATTTATAGTGATGACATAAAATCTGTCACAATTAATATTTTGTTCATCAAATTTGCATTTGCGTGTAGTCTCGCTTGGTAAATTGCAGTTTAGAGTTTGGTAATTTGCAGGTAAATAGAGTTCTCATGTTAATATAGTTGCAGTATCTGGAATTTTGTTTGAGCCACTCCGACTCCATTTACAGTTTTAGACGCGTTTGTATGGTTTATGGTATACTATGGTATCGAAATGAGAGTTAATTAGATCTCTGAAAAATTGTATTGGTGTTATTGTTTTTTTTTTTGGAATTGTAGTAGACCGTAATTGACTATTGAAATTTTTATAATCCAAGATGGAAATGAAGATATGTTTTTGTTTTGATATTTGGGTGGAAATTGCTTCCAGTTTAGTAGGTTCATCGCATGATAAAGTGTGCGGGAATATGGGAGATTGAACTTTGAAGAGTCGTTAGCCACGGTTATATCTAAAATGTTATTTATTGGAATTCGCCTACGAAGCTGTAGATTGAGTTCATCTATTTTAGCTTGTATGCTATTTATCAGCGTTGTTCTTTACTCTCCAAGTATAATCCTTAGAGAGGTGTTATGTAATGTATCCAAAGGTTTTAACGTTTTTGTGCTAGCAGATGCATAAGCAACACATCCGGAATCAATTTTGAAACAAATTAAGGATCTGTATAACATTAATAGTGTTTTACCATCGGTAAATTTGTTGTTTGTAGATCTGCCTGGTCTAAAGTCAGCTTGTTCAATGATAAGTTGATCATTATGTTCTAGGTTCCACATTAATCTTTTGTTGACTATTTTATCCCTAAGTTTACATGAAGAACATGTTATTGATAAAGGACGATATGATTCTGGTTGTAATTTATCTTTATTTACTTTAATAATAGGAATAACAATGGCATATTTCCAGATTTTTGGAAATGATTTTTGTGACCAAATAATATTAAATATTGGGAGTAGAAACTTTTTTGCTTCTATGGGAAGTTTCTTAATAAATTGTATTGGTATGTCCAATTTGTGATTTCCAAAATATATAAATTAAAAACTTAAAATACCAATTAAAAATGAATTTTTCAGTCAATAAAAACATGAATGCTAGTGATATAATCATTAATTAGTTATCAACATTAACTAAAATAATTGTATACATCCTACTAATACTATTTCCTAATTAGAAATGATTTTTTTGTATAATACACTAAAATTCCAAATCAATTATTATCCGAAAACGATACGTCATAGGGATTTCTATCAACAAAATGATCTTTTTATAAAATTAGTGGAAATTTTTTAACTCATATAATAAAATGTTTATATATATATATATATATATATATATATATATATATATATATATATATATATATATATAATATATACATATAATCTATATACATAAATTAATACATAAAGTAGCACATATCAAATCAATGAAGCGATCAAATTTTTCGAGAAAAAACTGTTCAAAAATCAATAAAATATAAATAACAAAAGTTGTTTTCTTTGCCATATTATTTTTTAATTCATATCATGTATGGAAAAAAATTATCTGACTATAGGGCATTTAGATAACTTACTCAAGGGATGTATTATTAGAAAGAACAGAAAGAGCTATCACAATTTCGATTGAGTAACTAATTCAAAGAAGAATTCCTGTAAGTGGTTATTTAATCCAGGAAAAAGCTCTTCAGTTTTATCAGTTAATGAAACAGTCAGATCCACCAACTTCTACTTCCCAAGCTGGTGAAAAAATTTCAGTTAAAAAAGGATGGCTAATCGTGTTTTTAAAAAAAGAAATGCATTTCATAATATCAACCTCACAGGAGAGCGTGAGGTACAGTAAATAAAGCAGCAGCATAAATATTGGGGATGGGACTATGGTGCCGATCAGGTATTTAGCGCTGATGAAACGGGACTGTATTGAAAAAAAAATGCCTAACCGCACTTGATCAAGTAACATTATTACATACTTTGTAGCAATACATTAGGAGTTAGGATGTTAAAACCGCTCTTAATAAATAAATTCATACATGTTTGAACAAACAATATTAATGAATGATAGATAAAAACTTTTGTTACAAAAAGTTAGATTTTTAATCAAAATTGCAAAAAAACTGTATATTATAAAATTTAAATATAATATTATTTTAGGTTTCAAGAACGATATGGGGATGTAGTACATTTAGGAGGAATATGGGGACGCAGAGAAAAGGTGTTTCTGTATAATCCAGATGACATGGCGGATGTAAGTAGATCACCGTACTACATAAAAGTTTATGACTTCTTATATATTTACGTTTCATTACCAATATTTTTTGAAGACTGTATCATTTGTGTAGTGAATATATATTTTCAGTTACTTCTTAATTTCTTGATCAACTTTTAGCAGATTGTAGGCCGCTCCTGGTTTTTCTTAAATTGCTACTAGTATTAGCTTGTGTATGGCCATTATTAAAAAAAACGTTATAATTAATAAATTTGTCTATTTCATACCTTTTTTATTTACTTTTTCACCATTTTTTGGTTTTCCCATTTTTCTGATTTATTAACTTCTTTTTCATCTACCAATTCTCCTTTGTTGTGTTGTGGTGACAGCTAAGGCTTTGTAAACACCATAGTTTGATATCTTGTTTGGTGTGATACTTATTAACTTATATATTAATTAATATTGAATAAGGACTTAATAAACAGTACCTACTTTTATCTAAGTAAATCACCAGAAACATATTTTAGATCACTTTTGTGCTGCAAAATGTTTCGCAATTACATAAATAAAGGGCAAAAGCCACTGTATTTAGCTGATACATTAAAGTTGGCTGTAGAAGAGATCAAATTGGAAGACTTATCTATATAGAGCGGCAAAGGTATACTCTATACCCAAAGCAAGACATTTTCCTCATGAAAACGGCATTCGAGGAAAAAGTCAAACGGAGGGAAGACCCACCGTACTTTCTTCATGGTTGAAAAATGTATTGCAGACGGAATTAGAAAAGGGTTTTGGACTATCCAAAAAGGAGGTGCTTGAGTTGATCGAAAAATATCTTAGTAAATATACACCACTTCGTGATGGCGTTCCTGAAGAGGATTTTTTCAATCGGTGCAAAATGTTGCAAAAAAAAAGTTGCAAGGAAAAAAGTATCAATCCTTTCTCCATTAATGAATATATTAAATTGTTTAATCGTATTTCTGAAAATTTCAGTTCTAGCCAAATATGGAATCTTGATGAAACAAGATATTGTCTGGATCCGAGTAAGATCAAAGTGGTAGCACCGCTCAGATTTCCTACTCATCGAACAGCAGCAGACCCCGGAAAAGAAAACATCACTATTTTAATGACGTATTGCAAATGGATAAAAAGCTCCACCATTAATTGTTTTCCGTGTAAATCATGTTAGGGATTCCTGGATGGCTTCTAGTGATCAAGAATTTACAGGAATATCCCAAGTTACAACAAAAAATAGCTGGATTCTGCTAGTTGTCCAATATTTGCAATAAAAGCCAAGCAGAAATTTTAATTAGTTCTACCTATTATCCGTTCTTTTTACTTCGATCATTTTTCTGAGGTATTTCATCTCTGCTGCCTGAATTTTGCTTTGATGTCTTTTGTTTAATATCCAATTTTCTGCTCCATACGTCACTGTAGGTCTATATATTGTTTTGTATATTGTCATCTTGGTCTTTGTTGATATTTCTTTGTTATTAAGGAATCCTCTATTTAGGGCTTAAAATATTTTTCCTGTGTTTTCCATTCTGTTGTTAAGATCGTCCTCGATGTCTCCTCAGTTGTTGATTACTGTTCCCAAGTATTTGTATGAATTTGTCTGTATTATTTTTTGTTGGTCTATCATTACTTCTATATGATCTTTCGCCTTGTTTCTTTGATATTTTCATTATCTGAGTCTTTTCTTTGCTTACATTTAAGTTGTTTTTGCTTGCTTTTAGGTTCCATTTCTCTAAGTTGTATTTCAGTTTTTCTGCTGTTTCCGCAATTAATACTATGTCATCTGCAAATATTATATACATAATTTATAATGTAATTAAACTAAAAACTCAGCTTTCGTTTATGAATTTATCTCCTTAAAGCATTATTCTTTTACAGCTGTTCCGTAATACCGGACCTTTTCCTTCCCGGCTTATTTTTGACTACATTTTCTACCATCGAACGAAGCTTAGAAAAGACATGTTTAAAGGAAACATTGGACTGGCTTTGTCGTAAGTTTATTTTATATAACAATATATATTTACTGTAAGTTTATGTTCATACGTGCATTTTCAAAATTTCAAAGATTTATTTAAAACTGTTATTATTTTTAGGCAAGGTGAAGATTGGTATAAGTTAAGAACTATTGTTAATCCAATATTAATGCAGCCCAATACAATTCAGCAGTACACTACAAGAATTGACAAAGTAGCTAAGGATCTCATAAAGCTTACCAAATATCGCATGAAAAGTGCAGGGACCAATCAAACGCCTGCTGATTTCGAAAAAGATTTGTTCAAATGGGCATTGGATTCTGTGTCGGTTATTACTTTAAACAGACAAGTAGGTACGGTATTATTGCTTTCCCTTTTGATTTTTGTTTTAAGTTTAATATTCCAATACTCAGTAAGATTTAATGATACTAGTTGATTTGGTTAACGTAGTAGTGTCTGTCTGAAGTAATACATTGGTTAGTAATCAGTGTAGTAGTGTCTGGAGGCTCGGGAGACTGAGACCTCGGAAGCCCTAAAGAAGGCATTGAAGAGGATGTCGAAAGCTGGGCGCAATGATAATCGACGGGGTTCAACCCGAAAGACTGTTGAGTTTAATATTAATTCCTAATATATTTGCATTTTTAGGAGCCCTTGAAACGCATGTAGATAAATCATCGGAACTTTACCAATTCGTCCTTTCAGTTTTGAAGATATTCGAGCAAATTCACTATTTAGAACTTATGCCTCCATATTGGAAGTATCTTCCATCTAGAAGACTAAAGCAATTTTATGCAAATTTTGAATTTTCAACTAGGTGAGTAAACATTTAACTTAATATTAATCAGCTTTAACCAAAACACAATGGGACGAATTTATTAGTTATTATTATTATTGTGAGAGATTTGGAAAGTATACCTCCATTTTAATTTAAAATATTCCGAGATGGGAAACTCAGTTTTTATTTTTTGAGATGCGGCTCGATGGATAGTGCAGTGGATACAGAGATTTAAGAATAGTTTCTGTAAAATAATGGTTTCCGTAATAAATGGTTTCCGTTATATCATCAATGGGAAGATTATAAGGAAGATACTGTAAAAAAAGATAGAGCAAACGATAAAAGGCAAAATCGGGTAGGATAAGGCAGACTTCACGACAAGAAGATCATGCATAGACCACATATACACACTGAAACAACTGTTGGAAAAGAAAAAAGCAAAAAATGGATATATACATTTGGCATTTGTGGACCTGATAAAGGCGTATGACTCTGTTCCATGGTCAGAGCTATGGGAGGCAATGTACAAATTAGAAATACAGACGGAACTCATAGAAACTACAAAAGCTTACTGTATAAAAAAAATAAAGTGTCCATTAAAATTGGAACAAAAATCATAGGAGACTTCTCCACAACAAAAGGACTCCTGCCGGGTTGCTCCACATCTCCAACTCTATTCAAAATATACTTAGAAAAAGCGTTGACTACGTGGAGAAGAAAATACTAAGGCATATGAGTACCGGTACGAAACGAATACCTATATACGTTAAGCTGTGCAGACGATCAAGTCGTGACTGCACAAAACCAAGAAGACATGATGAAGAAACTACAAGAAGAATATACCAAGGCTGGTCTAGATATTAACCTCGCGAAAACAGAGTAAGTATCTATCTACAAGTAAAGAAGACATAGAAGATCTACAGATTGACGACAACGTAACAGTCAAAGAAAAGGTTAAATTCAAATACTTGAAGTTCACAATTACGAAAACGGCAACAACAGACGAAGAAATTAAGCAAAGATTAGGACAAACAAAAACAGCAACCTGATAACTTAATTCCATATGGTGGAATAGACACCTAAATACGAAGACAAAAACACAGATTTATGAAACATTATTGCGAAGTATTAAGACATGGGGCTGAAAATTGGATTATTAACAAGAAAAACAGCAGTAAGATAGTAGCAACAGAGATGGAATGCCTGCGAAGATGCTGCAGAGTAACAAGAATGGATATCAGAAGTAATGAGGAAACAGATCAAAGAACATCAATAGAAATAGACACACTAACATATATAGAACAAAAAAGACCAAAGTGGTATGGACATGTAAGAAAAACTAGGGACAGCAGATGGATAAAGAGAACAACCGAATGTCTCCTCTAGTTTTTCCAACCATTGTCCAATGATATGCTTTAGTAATCCTACCTAAGACATTTCCATGCTCTATACATACCATTTTAACTATTGGCGTCTTATATTACCGTATATATTCCTTATATATTCGAGGCTAGATCGTCCTTCTAGCTTTTCTCAAAATAATAAAAAAGTTCGTATAAAAATTTGGATTTCTTTCTTAGAGGAAAAAAATAGGAAATACTAGACTGCTTGAATAAATCTAGAGGAAGACAAGAAAAAAGAGAAAGGAAATAGCGGAGAAAAACTCCTTGTTCAAAAACAGGACTTTTAATCCGTTGGCTTTAGTTTTTTTTCAGTCATTTCAAAGAAGAGCATGAATCAAGGTTCCGAACTAATGCCAGAGATAAAGGTAGATGAGATTCGACAAGCGTTAAGAAAAATGAAAAATAACAAAGCCCCTGGGAAGGTATCGTAAATGGAGGAGATATGCTATTAAATAATTTAAGGAAACTGTTTAATCTATTTTTGCAGCAAAGATGCCCAAAGAATGAAACATTGCTATAACCATCCTCTTGCATAAAAAAGGAGGTAGAACGTACCCAGAAAGTTATAGACCTATTAGCCTATTGAGCCACATATACAATCTCTTCACTAGGTTAGTGACATCAAGATTGGAGAAAAAAAATTGATTTATATCAACCGAAAGAGCAGGCAGGATTCCGATCAAAATATGGTACCAATGATCAACTACATACAGTAAAGACACTCATTGAAAAATCTATAGAAGACAACAAACCTCTTGTCGTCACTTTCATAGATTTTCATAAAGCGTTCGACACGATTGAAATGGACCGCCTTATAGAAGCAATGATTGAGAGCAGGATTGACCATTGTATATTGAACATATTTAGAAAATTTACAAAAATGCCACTATGACTGTTAAGATACACGATAAAACCCGACAAATAAAAATAAAACATAGGATAAGGCAAGGAGATACTTTGTCACCGAAATTATTCATAAAGGCATTAGAGTATGCCTTTAAGATAGCCAATTGGGACCACAGAGGAGTAACAATAGACGGCGAAAAGCTTAATCATCTCCGTTTAGCAGATGGCATTGTTCTTATCACAGATAATTTAGGCGAAGCCACAGATATGTTAAATGAATTGGACTTAGCATGTTCGAAGGAGGGCCTCAGAATGAACTTGACCAAAACTAGTTTATGTTAAACATGGTCCCCAATAACCATTTAACTATTCAAGACAAAGGGGTAGAACTGGTAGAGAAATATACGTATATAAGTCATGAAATAAGAATCAGCTGGGATAACCAAACATTCGAAATCCAAAGATGAATTACTTTCGCGTGGGCAGCCGTTGGAAAACTGCGAGACTCACTTAGGGCCAATATACCAATTATCCTCAAAAGAAAAGTATTTGACCAATGATTATTACCGGTCATGACCTATGGGGCGGAAACTATGAATCTAAACCAGACTACAGTTTCGAAATTGAGAGTGGCTCAGAGATGAATGGAACGGTCTATCCTGGAAGTGACGTTGTGCGATCGAATGAGAAACTAAGATCTGCGAAGAAGGACGAGTATTGCTGATGTTGTTGACCGCATAGCGGAACTGAAATAGAACTGGGCAGGCCATGTAGCGAGAATGCAGGACCCACGACGGACGAGCAAAATTACAAATTGCAGGACAAGAGCAGACAAACCTAGTAGAGGAACACCACCTACACTTTAGCCTGACGACATCAGGCGTATCACCAAAAATTGGCAACAAAAAGCACAAAATCGTATAGAATGGAGGAGTTTAAGAGAGATGTCCAGCGGACGTGATAAATAAAGGTTAGATGATGATGATGATGGCTTTAGTTGACGCCACAATACTTTAAATGTTTAACCGAAAAAGGAGAGTATGGTACAAATATTTAATATCGAAGTGCCAAATTAAAACGTGTTTCGCCTAAACTGAGAAGAAAAAGAAGTACTTAGTCAATCATTAAATCTATTGTAAATTGCTTTATTTTTTCTTTCAGTTTAATCTCTAAAATTATCGATGAAGCTATAGCAGAATTTAAAAATGAAAACGTACCTGATGATGAACTTGGCGTACTCCAGCGTTTAGCAAAAGTGAATAAAGAAACAGCCTATCTTATGACTATTGACTTAATAACAGCAGGAGTGGATTCGGTAAGTGACATGTTTAAACAAGAAAATATGATAATGAAGAATATAATACTTTTAGTTCTTAAATTGTTTCTACGGCGTCTGTGTGTTTAACGGTACTAATATGCATATTTCTAGTCTTGTATTTTTTGTTTATTTAACTAAATAACTCTTTTAGACGGGAAAGACACTCGGAACAGCGCTGTACCTTCTAGCCAAGAATCCTGAGAAACAAAGCATACTCCGTGAGGAAGTGTTAAAATACCTTCCAGAAAAAAACTCAACGTTAACGGCCGAAAAATTATCTGAAATGCAATATTTGAAAGCTACTTTGAAGGAGAGCAATAGGATGGCTCCAGTTGCTATTGGCGGTCTTAGAACTACTACAAAAAACATGATACTGGGGGGCTATCAAGTTCCAAAAGGAGTAAGTATTAGTTTTTAATATTTAGAGTAAATTAGAATCAGATCAGGTTTTTATTGTAAGCAGATCAGAAGCTATAGTTGCATAAATAGTTGCAAGATTCACCTGGAGTTGCTCCAGGTGATACTTTTAGCATCATAAAAAGAAATATTTTTCCATCGATTATTAAGTTAGTGATGTCATTTATAAAGATAAAGAAGAGTAAAAGACCCAATACTGAACCTTGTGGTACTCTACATACAATGCTTTTGTTGTTTCCTGTTCCTTAAATAAGACTAACCAATTCAAAGAAATTCCTCGAATTCAGTAGAAATTTAGTTTTTTTTATCAAATTGTGATTTAAACAGTCAAAAGTTTTGGCATAGTCACAAAAATAGTGGCATTGTAAATAATATTGTTTAGTGCTTGATGGACCTCAATAAGTACAAAAAAAATAGCATCACTTGTATATTTATATATTTATTAGATAAAAAGCCGAACTGACTTTGTGATGAAATATTGTTTTCAACGAGAACATAAGTGTGGCTTTTATAAATCTTTCAATAATTTTGGATAAGACCGGTAGTAATGTTCTCGGACGCGACTAGTTCACGTTCGAGACGCATCGCCCCGCCCCTTATTTTTCCCGTTGGCCCCTCCCTGACCTGGAAATCCCTAATCGCTACTTAAGAAAGTATAAAAATAGGCGATTTTCAGGTCAATTAGTTCAGTCCTTCACGGGCTCTCCGAGAGCTTAGTGCTCTCGGGGCTCTGCTTCCCTTTTAGCTTCCCATACTCTGTGGCTGAGTATTTTATTCTACTAAACTTAGTGTTTTATTTCGACTTATAAGTCATGTAAGAAATAGCTCGTCTTTTTCAAGACGAGCTCATCAGAAGAAAACCTTTTACGAATCCATACCCCGCAAATGGATTCAAGTAGAGGGGCTTTCGTCGACGTTTCCGAAGCCCTCTACAGAGCACACGGTGGTACAGAAGGTGGCAACACCCTTTCTATTTACCCCGAGGTGACATGGCGCCCGACAACGTGGTTAAAATCCGCACCCACGACCCAGCTTGACTCACAGCAGAAGGCTACAACCATTGACTTCAACATGGGTTGAAGTCAAGAGAAGAACGGGGAGAACCAAGGAGTGTTAGAATGCTATCTGACACTCCGACATCGAGGCCTTCTGCAGACCGGATGCCTTCGACGTGCGGGCGACTTTGACGAGCCAGCCTTCTTCGAAGTCAGAAGCCCCAGATGCCAACGGAAGTCCCGGAGCAGACCCAGTCACCGCCCCCCTACCGAAAGTGGTTGGACGACCACGTAGGCTTCGGCACCCTGGCACTCTGCGAAACCCGTTGGATATGGCAGATGGGATCCGGACGACCGAGAAGAAGACGAACCCGTCGGAGGAGTCGACACACCGATCGAGAATGGAGCTGCAGGAGTCGGAGATGCCGTCAACGCCACCGACATTCCTCGTTAGTGCACTGTTGTGAGTTTCAAAGACAATTTGATGTTATGGCTTATTACTTTTTGCATTTTCTTGTATTTTCTTTTCATGTATTCCACATGCATTTTGTATTGTATTTTTTATTGTAATTTTTAATAATTCAATAAATTTCCTTCCCAGCCACAGAGTCTCCAGAGGAGGGGGGATGTAAGCAAGCAAGCAATTTGATTGAACCCAGCCTATGAGACATGTTCACCCAGGTAGTACGATCGGGTGTAACAATTCATTGGAGCAAGGTGTTTTAATTCGTGTTTAACAACAGGAATCACCCCACCGTGCTCCAATGCTCTAGACCATCCCTTTCCCCCCTATAGCAATCTGATTCGCTATAGAGGCACAACAATCAGCCAAGTGCTCTTCATGTGGAGGTCCTGGGTAATTGAACCCCAACATGGTTTCCTAACCGTATGTGAAAACTCAGGACAGCGCATCTCCGCTTTATTCCTGTTTATCTTAATGTAGCTTATCCGCGAACTAAAATTGCTTACTTGGGCCTCAAGTCTCCGCTCTGAGTCCCGGCTCAGCTCGGCGACTTGGTGCTCAAGGGGGTTGGGCCCTACGTGCCCGGGTTTTGGGGTTTTTGTTAGTTTTTTTTTTTGGTGGCCGAAGCCGGTTTTTGTTAGTGTTTTTTAATTTTTTTGGTGGCCGAGGCCGTTTTTTTGTGTTTTTTTATGATTTTTTTTGTAGGTTGCCTGTGAAAAGAAAAGTCATAATTAGTACATAGTCTACACTATAATAAAGAAAATATTTAAATATTATACATTACCACAATGTAGACTGCATCCTAGTGTGAGCAACAGGGCCCACTGTGAATGAGGCGATTAGCGATATTCTGGGTGATTTGAGCTACGAACTGTCTTCATTATGTGTGTGTGTTTTGATTAGATTTTCTTCTCACTCTGGGCTTTTTGTAATATTTTGTCCCTATTGGGGGGTTTTTTATTTTTCCCTCTGGTTTTGCGTTAGTCTAATATTTGTTGTTTTGGTCTTTTGTGCTTCCATCTGTGGAAAGTGTCGTACCTCATTATCTCTCGTAGGATGTGACTAGGGTGGTTCTCTAGTTCTGCGAATTTTATCCTAGCTTTTTCTTTCATTGTATCAGTCACTCTGATTTGCTGTAACTCTCTGAACAGGAATCTTTCAGCTACGTATCTTGGTACGTTTACCGCTTCTCTTAGGCTTTTGTTGTGTTGTGCCTGTATTTTCTTTTTCGTTGTGTTGCATATATGTCCCCATGCAAGTGATGCGTATGTCAGTATAGGAAGGACTATACTGTTTATTAGCCTTATTTTGGTTTTTATGCGTAATTTGCTTTTCCTTCCCGCTAGGCCTCTTATTGCGGCCCTTGCCATGTTGGCTTTTTGTACTGTGGCTTCTACGTGTTTATTGAAGGTTAGTCCTTTGTCCATTATTACTCCGAGGTATTTCGCTTCGCTTTTCCACTCAATGGGATTTTCTTGCACTGTGACCTGTTCTTCTGGTTGTTCTCGCCTCTTTTGGAAGAGTACAGCTTGTGTCTTGTCTGAGTTGATTTTAATTTTCCACTTTAGACTCCATTCTTCAATGTCGTCTAACGCTGTCTGTAGATTGGTGACTGCTATGTCTACATTTCGGTGTTTGGCCGCTATCGCTGTGTCGTCAGCATAGAGACTTAATAATGTACCTGGTGTTCTAGGTATATCTGCTGTGTATATCGTGTACAGCAGAGGTGACAGTACCGCTCCCTGTGGTACTCCAGCTTCCGGGTTCCCGAGTTCGGATAGGACTTGTCCTATCCGGACTCTGAAACTGCGGTTGCTCAAGTAAGAAGAGATCAGCCTTGTCATTGCTCCGCTGTACCCGTAGTCTCTCATTTTGTATAGTAGTCCCTTATGCCAGACTCTGTCGAAAGCTTTACTTACGTCCAGGAATGCAGCTCCTGTATATTGTCTGTCGTTAAATCCTGCTGCTATGTACTCTGTTAGTCTGAGTACTTGTAGCTCGCTAGAGTGTTCTGATCTGAAGCCAAATTGGGCTTCTGGTATGATGTTTAGTCTGTCTGTTTCAGCTTGGAGTCTGCTGAGTATCACTCTTTCTACTATTTTCTTTCAGAGGTAATTCTGACTTCTCCTTGCCTCATTTCTAATCTTATTGTTGTGGCTTGCATAGTTACTAGTTGCGGTGTTAATAATCTAGTGTGTTTTATCGGGGTTGGGTGGGTTCGCCTTACGGGTCGGCGGAGACCGTGAACGGTCCATTGTGGGGGGCGGGGCCTAATCAAAAAATTTGAAAGAAGGCTTTTTTGTTGTCCGTCTGGCCCGTTGCCAGCACGGATTCTGGGTGCCACCCAGTGACCTAACGCGGTTGTTCACGCTCTAGGCAGAACTAGAGCGGAGATCCTCTTGCGTTTCTCAACTCTCTGACCCTGGGGCCGTGTCTGCCAGATATAGAATTCTAAAAAACTATATCCCACAGTGTCATCCCAACGGAGGCACAGAGAGTATCCCGACGGGCAAAGCCCGTATGCTTTTTCGCTTCCCTACGCCGCAATTTTGGCCTCCGTGAAGATCTGATTTAAAAAACAAATCTCCCCGGCTAACCTAGTTACGACGTAAGGTTTTGCCTCTGTTTTTCAGGCCTAGGCGCTGTTAACGCCAAGTCACCGCTGCCGTGCTTACATTCACGGCTTGAACTAACAAGTTCAGCTCGGACTTGGTCGTTGCAGCTCCTCGGCGGTGTCGCTCTTCTCGCTGTGGCACGTCTGCACTGTTCGACTGCTGGAGTCGAACAACTAGGAGGGGGGATGTTCTCGGACGCGACTAGTTCACGTTCGAGACGCATCGCCCCGCCCCTTATTTTTCCCGTTGGCCCCTCCCTGACCTGGAAATCCCTAATCGCTACTTAAGAAAGTATAAAAATAGGCGATTTTCAGGTCAATTAGCTCAATCAAAGAAATAGCTCGTCTTTTTCAAGACGAGCTCATCAGAAGAAAACCTTTTACGAATCCATACCCCGCAAATGGATTCAAGTAGAGGGGCTTTCGTCGACGTTTCCGAAGCCCTCTACAGAGCACACGGTGGTACAGAAGGTGGCAACACCCTTTCTATTTACCCCGAGGTGACAGTAAGGCAATAGGTCTATAGTTGCAGAAATTCGATTTTTCACCACCCTTATGAACATGATAATAATGGCTGTCTTTAGGCACTCTGAACATACATTTTTTAAAGGAATCATTAATTAGTGACACCAGTCCTTTCAACACATTTTTTTTGAGATTTAAGAAGATGTTTATGCAAAGTCCATCATCACTACAGGAAGATTTGCTTTTGATACTACTTATAGTTTGGATGAGTTCATATTAATCAACTGCCCTTATAAATTATGAATTCGAGACCTTTTTTGAATTCAGGAAATAGTAAATAGGATCTAGTTGTGACAAAATAGTTGGTGTTACATTTTTACTCACATTAACGAAGTATTCATTTAGATTTGCAGGGTTTGGAAGAGAAAATGTTTGAGCTGTGTTAGTTTTATTTCGAACATCGTTTATTACGACCAATATTGATTTATTGAAAATACAGATAAGCCTATCTAAAAAATAAACTGAAATTATAGTCCACGTCCACAGAGGGAAACGCCACCCAGAAGTCAGGCACACATTTTTTAATTTACGAAAGTTCTGAGCGGAAAAAAGCCTACGTAAACTTTGAGTTTTCGAGGACGGATTGTGAAGAGTATTAAATTTGCTATATACTACTTCATGATCGGATAGTCCTGTAATAATAATTGTAGAGCGTGCATCAATTATTATCACATTACTAAATACATGTAGTGTATATATGTTTTATCACATTTTGCTATCATACAAGGCATTAAACGGCATGTACTTCATTATATAAATATTTGAAAAATACCTCTATCCTCCTTAAGAAATTTTTAGACAAAGAAGACAGCTTTTTATATTGGGTTTTTCATCTTATTTTGCAGTACCCTGTGGACGGTATTGGAAGCAAACAAATATCTTAATATTGCATGATGGCTTCATTTTTCAAAATTTTCGTAAAAAATTGATTTCTATTATCAGAACGAAAAGTACGTTCAAAGCATAATAAGATTTTATTAAATTGTAATATTCATTAACGGAATAAAATCAGGAAGCTGGCTATGAAAACTTTTGACAGGAGAGTTTTAGACTAATAATTTCAATTCCCTTGACTTCCCTCCACTTCAATTTTTCAATTTCAAACAGACCTTTTCGTCGTCAACCATTCAGCTAACTAGTATCAAGATATTTTCGATCTAAATATGTTTCTTTATACTATAACGTAGGTCCCGTATACTGGGGCAAACATACTGCGATTAGTTTTGCCATTCGACCAGGCTCGATCTCAAAGCATGATACAGCACTAGCCCATCATCAGGTCCATTCCATCAAGGGATTAGCGTGGTCATTCCACCATGCTCCCAAATCATCCAGTATTACACGTGTGATTACTCTTGCTATCATTGTTTGTCTTAGTGATTACCCGAGCTACCTCTGAGAAGTGCTAGCCAGGGTAGAGATCTTCATGATTGTCTTTGTGATGGTAAAGTGAGATACTTTATCTTAGGTTGACCTCCTCACGATCCCAAGTCAATGGTTAAGTTAAAAATCATATAATCCACCTGGTTAAAAACTTACATGAAGTTAGGCATGAGTAATTGAATTGTTTCCACATTGTAACCACATTGTAACCACATGTCGTCCACACTAATATATGATCTAATTTAGACAGAAACAACTCTATTATCATGTTGCGATATCGAGCACCAGTAACAGTCACTGCTTGACCAGCTTTATTTTCAAAAAAGTATGGTTCAATGATGCCTCCAGCCCAAAATCTGCATGAAACAGTGACATGTTGAGAGTGGATTTTTTTTTCAACAAGCTCCCTGAATTTTTCAATTACTCTGCACACAATTGACAAAGTTAAATCGATATTATGACCATATTTTGCACGTAATGTTTAAGCTGTGCCCGCCAAACTTTCATGGTCTTAAAAATATTGTTTAACATTGAAAACGCGTTGTTTTCTAATGTAATTCTTAATTTTTGCAATCCCTAAACTAACTATCAGCTGTCAAACTGTTTTTTTTTTGTTGGCAAATGGCGACAAATTCAAATCTTGCCTTGAATTTTGGTACACATATTATATATACATTACAACATCTTATTTTTTATTTTTTTGTTTCAGACAGATATAAATCCCATGCATTTTTATGCGTCAGCATTGATAGACAAAAATTTCAAAGAACCCTCTAGATTCATGCCGGAAAGATGGCTACGATCTGTCACTAGCGAGTACTCGGCGAAAAACGCTCATCCGTTCGCCTACATGCCGTTTGGATATGGTGCCCGTTCTTGCATCGGAAGAAGATTTGCTACTTTGGAAGTGGAAGTTGCGATTGCAAATGTACGTATAAAGTCTTTGTTTTTATTATTTCATGGGGTTGTCTTCCCTAATTACATTTATCTATAAGTTTAAATCTTAAATCATAACAATATTAATTTCCTTTAACGACATATCCTGAGATATCTTATTATTTGTATATATTTGTATATATTTGTAGTAACTCCATCCATAAATGAACATTTTAAATACTCCAAATATTTTTACCCTATAAAGTTTTACTCTTTTTTTAAGAGCTTATCTCTACTGTTCTAGAATTTGTTCTAGATGAGTTTCAGTATTTCCTACATCATCAGCATAGATTAAGCAACAAGGAATGTTATCCTCTAGTTTCGCTGTCATCTGATGCAACACAAGGACGAACTGATTAACATAGATATCTAGTTGGAATTTTATCGTTTTCTTTTTAATTTTCAGATGATCCGAAATTTTGAATTATCATGGGACCATTCAGATATGAAATTTGAAGCCAGATTTTTGTACGGTATCGTGGATCCCCTTACACTTACCCTTAAAGAAATAAAGTGATGGAAAGCTAGCATAAAGCAAGACGATCTCGTTTAGACTGACTTATTTTAATTGTCATGTATATTTTAATAAATACTGTTTTTAAGTAGGATATTAAATCCATATTTAGATACAATCTAAATGATAATAATATAAATAATTTATTATTTTTAAGTAAATATTATTAACTATTGTGTAAGATTGCTTAACATTGTTTTGTAAAGTTACAACTTTGGCTTAATAAGAAAGAATGTATATTAATATATCAGGAATAATATTTTATTTAAATTGTTTGGAAATAAAGAAATAATAAACATTGATATTCTCTTAATTTTAAAACGAAAAAGAAAATTCAAAACCTCCAGGGGTTATACCTGAAAAAACTATCATACAAAAACAAATATCGATACCTTAATTCGCAAACCGGCCAACTCAACGTTTTATCAAAAATAGTTTTTGGATGAAGTTGGTTTACAATTATAATTCCGCATGATTTGCAAAAACAACGGCGTGAATAAAATCACTAATAGTTTCTGTGTAAATTGGTATTCGAAAACCAGCTACCTCCATTTGTTCGGAACGTTATGATTTTGACAGCTAATTTAAGTACGTCGGCAAAAAGTAATACCCAGAGAATGGACATTGGACAAATACAGTAATTATACCTATATACAAGAAAGGAAACACAAGAGACTGTAAGAACTGTAGAGATATATCACTACTATGTGTAGCAGCAAAAGTATACGAAACCATAATAGAAAGGAAAATCAGAAAAAAAATAGAACAAAAATTAGAGGATATACAAAGTGGATTCAGGAACGGACACAACACACAAGACCATATATTCACCATGCAACAAGTAATAGAAAAAGCCTTAAAGAAAAATGGAGAAATATGTCTGAGCTTTATAGACATGGAAAAAGCATTCGACACAGTCAAAAGAAAAGATATATGGGAAAGCCTAAAGAAGAAGCAAGTAAGTGAAGAACTGAGAGAAGCAACAAAGAGTATATACATGAAAACAACAAACACAGTAAGAATGTCAAATATGCAGTCAGAACCATTTGAAACAACTCAAGGAGTTAGACAAGGAGGAAATGTCAGCTCAGTGCTATTCATAAATGTAATAGATGAGATAGTGAAAGAATGTAAGAAAACGTTCAAGAACTACTGCATCGGTTGGAACAGAATGCAAATGATAAACCTGAGATGTGTATATTTGCAGACGACATAGTATTAATTGCGGAAACAGCAGAAAAACTGAAATACAACTTAGAGAAATGGAACCTAGAAGCAAGCAAATACAACTTAAACGTAAACAAAGAGAAGACTCAGATAATGAAAATATCAAGGAAACAAGGGATGGAAAATCAACTAGAAATATTGGAGACATCGAGGACGATCTTAACAACAGAATGGAAAACACAGGAAAACTATTCCAAGCACTAAATAGAGGATTCCTTAATAACAAAGAAATATCAACAAAGACCAAGATGACAATATACAAAACAATATATAGACCTACAGTGATATATGGAGCAGAAAATTGGATACTAAACAAAAGGCATCAAAGCAGAATTCAGGCAGCAGAAATGAAATACCTCAGAAGAACGATCGGAGTAAAAAGAACTGATATAATCAGAAATGAAGAAATTAGAGAAAGACTAAAAATCAAACCGATTCTCGAATCAATCAAGGAGAAAAAATTTGCATGGTTCGGACATCTAACCCGGATGGACAATAATAGACAAGTAAAAAGAGTGTGGGACGCCAAACCAATAGGGAAGAACAGGAGAGGAAGACCCATTAAAGAATGGAACAGTGACATCTCGCAGATACTGCAGAGTAAGGGTAAGACTTGTCAGGAAGCAACACAGATGGCATCCAATAGGAAGGAATGAAGAAAGTTCGTTAAGAGCTAGGACACCTCAGAAGATTGTAAAATATTGTAATATAAAGAATTGTATTATAAACGGCCCAACACCGAAAGGTACAAATGGGTCTACTGATTAAGTAAGTAAGTAATAATACAGTGCGACCATTATGAGAGAGCAGGTAAAATACGTACAATTTATCATTTTTACCTAAAAATGATATTCTTGTAGGGGTAGGAGTGGAGTTTTCGACCACAAAATGGTTTTTTGTATATAAAAATTTGTTAAATGCATATTTTTAAAATAAAAGAGCATTAATGTCTAGATCAAAGTTTTGTTCAAATAATTAACCTGACATTAAAGAATAAATAAAACCATTTAACAGCAAACACATTTTTTTTAAACTTTACAAATGGTCGAATGCTCCCCACCCCTAGCGAGCATTCGACCAGGTGGAGGGGAGCATTCGACTATGTTAAAAAAGGATATTTAAAGAAATAAAAAAAGAAAAAGTTTTGAAAAAGTACTTTATTTTAGAAAAAATATCAAGAGCAAAACGCAATGTAGTGAAAAAAATAACATTAATGACCTACCTAAACAAAATCAGTTAACAATTAAGGTGCTAAAATTGTAACTAAACTTAAAATATGAAGCTGTTCTTGTTGTTCCAGTTTTTGTTAGATTTTTTAATTTGCTGATAATGTCTCTATTGTCCACTTCGCTTATGTCTTCAATTTGTGGGAAATAAAAAGTAGTCGAGTAACCCTTCCTTCTCAAAAATTTAATTTATGTTGCCTCTTCTGAAATTTCTAAAATTTGCCCCAAAAAATGAATCAGTTTGGATTTAGTCATGAATCTTACTAAAACAAAATCTTCTCTTTTAAGATCTTGTTGATCAACTTCCTCAATTTCATCAAATTCGTCACTCAAATCTTCATCTGAATCGTCATGAAGAAATAACGCATCATTTTCGGTTGATGATGAATCAGAACAATTTTCCATCTTTACTTTCTTTTTGGGGAGTTTGTTTTCTTTTGCCTCCATGGTATTCTTAAACACATTTCTCTTAACACCTCTTTTTTTACTTTCCTTTTCTTATGCAGTATTTTCCAATCTTGCACAAGACACTTCTTTTTTAGGAGTGTCAGTATAAATTCTTGAAATTCCTGGTGTTCGCTTACTTTTTTTTCTTTTTTTATGGCTTTTGGAAATGGTCTAATTGACTCTGGTGTGATTTTTACTTGATTCTTATGCTTACTGCAGGATGGTGTTGGCATAGTTCTTATATCATGTGTAATATTAATCGTGCTCTTTACTTTTTTTGATTCAGTTGCAAGATCTTCGTGATCTTCTTCTATTTTGTCATTTTCGATCTTTCATCACGATCTTCTGTTTTTCTATGAATGACTTCGTGTTCTGTTTCATTATTTTCGAGATTCACCTCACCTTCCACCATATTGTTTTGATTGTGTGGATTTACTGCGGGATGAAAAGGTTTGTCTGTTACATAACTAGGGGCAAAATCGTCATCGTTAAAAGCTAATCTGTTAAATGGCCAAATCCCAGGCTTTTTAAAACTACTCACAATATTTTTATTTGTAAAAGCTCTTGCATATGCTCGGTGTGTCAATTATGGCATATTTTTTATAGTTATGGTTTTTCCTGGATTTGATACCATCCAATCATTAAAAGCGATGCTATTAAAAATTTTAAAAGGCCCATAGACTCCAATATCTAGTGGTTGCCTTCTGTGAGTCGTATGGGGTGCAAAACTTGATAGAACAATCCCACTCTGCAAAATTTTACGCGCTGAAGCCTAACATGGGACTCGTGATTATCAGCCAGCAATAATATGGGATCCTCAAGGGAGCAGCGAGTATGCTTTACTATATGTTGTAGTACCGAGAAAAATAACTCTGCAGTCATCCAACCGGATTTGTTTCCCAATGCCAAACTTGACACTGGCGGGTTAACTATAAGGTCTTCCACATTTCTAATCCTTGGGAATATATAAACGGGAGGCAGGCTTTGTCCAAAAGCACTTACAATTCCCACAAATGTCACCAATTCACCCCTTTCAGCTGAAGCATGAGAGACTTGTTTTTTGCCTTTGAGGGAGACAATTTTCACTTGCCTTATGACAATGGTAACTCCGGTCTCATCAAGATTATAAATTCTTTCTGGACCTTATGTTTATCAAAACATTTATCAAAATCGATGCTTCTGCTTAGACTGGTGCTTTCTGATTTTCTTAAGGAAAATTGGGGTGGCGTTTCATAAATCCTCGTCGCTATCCATCTTTTGCCTTTTTTTCCTGCTGCCACTCTTGCGAAATTTTGCAACTAGGCAATTCGGAGGCGTAATCATAAGCTATTTTTTGGATATGAGTATAAGTTAGTTCGTAGTTAAGGTCAGAACAACTCTTGATATATGATTTCAATTCAGCTTCGTGCTTCACCGTAAATACCTGCTTGAAATTTGCAGAGAATAATTCTTGCATATATTCTTTCCATCTTCGTAATTTATCTTCAATGGTATCTGGACAAATGGATTCTATAAAAAACGGTATAGAACAAAGAAAAAGGTATGTCGGTGAGACTTTCCAGAATATTTGATTTCTGCTGACGCCGACATACTCCCTCTCTAACGAAACCTCATACGCGTCAAAAGCGTACGAAAAGGCGTCAAAAAATAGCAGAATTTCTTTATGGGATTTTACATGGAAAAATACAGAAAAAAATACGCCGTAGAAAAAATAGGAAAAATACATGGTAGTAATAGTGCTGAATATATTGGGGGTCGCATTCCATTGGAAAAGGATGTGGCTAGAAGCAGCTCTAGCAGGCTAGAGCTCTAGCTATTAAAACATTTTCCTGAAATTAAATGTTTAAAATTTATTATTTTTACAAAATGTTGCGATTAAATAATTAGCTATTTTTACCTTTGTGTCATGCTTGTAATTTGGATTTTTGGTATAAGCTATTATAATTTGATAGAACACCTGCTTATCATTACAAAATAAATAATACAAAGTTAGCACTTCCAACGGAAGTGACCTTGGAAATTGATAACGGATGATGTTGCTAAAAACTGCTCTTTTATTAAAATTATAAACCTTATCTTAGTCAAGTGTTTATACCAAGTATATTCAAAGCAGTCAATACATATTATATATCTCCAACTGATTACAACACTTATCGCCTTATCGGTACATACCAACGAAAACTGCACAACCATTCCGCAATTTTTATATCTGAAAAAGAAAAGAAGATACGTTATAGAAGGTCGCTAAGTCTCACCAGAGTAATACAACTAAAACCACTGGCAAAAACTGTCAAAACAAATTGTTTAAACAAATTAAATGATTTATTTTAAAAAACTAATTATTTAAATAATACATATTCGTCATGTACGCAAAAAGTACATACAAATTAAAACAGTAACGTTGAAATCTATAAACAACCACCAGAGATACAGTTAACAGTTCCTTCCCCCTCCAACCGCTCCCGCTAATTTCATAGCCAGCTGATTTTGGGGACCACTTTTTGAAGTTTTGTAATTTCGAATCATCCACAAGACAACTTTTGTAAAGTGTTTTAGAATATATTTATATAATAATAGAATGTATCTTCTTCTTTCAGAATCTGCCCGCATCATTATCATAACTACACAATTTTCTGACTTATATTCTTGCAAAAAAATTTAATTTGGGATAAACAAATTAAATATCTTTTAAACTATTTGACCTATCGGTTTGACCCAGTTATGCTTCCAATTTTTTTATATTGGCTACTTTTAGTGTCTAGCTTTCCATTCCATGTAACAAAGTCGAGAACACGTAGCATTTTAAGGCGCTTACCCTCAGCTCCAGAGGAAGATCTCGATTTTGTTCTGAAGCTATTTTCTTGTGGCGTTATTGCAATTAACTAGTTTTGATAGGGAATACGCTAGAATTTTATTAAAAAATGATTTTATTAAGGTTTGGACGCCCAAATCGGGTGTCGTTGTCAAAATACAAAAATTATTAATGAATTAAACAATGAAACCCCCTCTGTGGCTCAGTGGTAAGAGCGCCTACCTTTAAACCTAAAGGTCGTGAGTTCGAATCTCACCTGGGTGGAGAAATTTTCGTTTATTAAAAATTAATGAAGGAAAAGAATTTCTATCCTTGTGCGATTGGTACTCACCGGAGGGACCACAGACGTTCGGATACAATTAGCGTCTCCTAACAAAGACAATGACGTCGACTTTGCTAAGTGTCAAGACAATTCCTCTACACACACACACACACACACACCTCAAATTGTAAGATTGGCGAATGGATTTAGTATCCGCAGTCATTTAAACACAAACAAAAAACAACAACAAAAAATGTTGTTACTTAGTAAAAAAATTCTTCTAATAATTTATTTAATTTGACTCATTTATATCGGCAATTCAGACATATATTATACATTTTAAAGTAAAAGACTTTAAAATGATATTGCCAATATTTATGAGTTGCGTTCCTGGGACGACTTTATTGAAAGATAGTTAATTCGATTACATGAAATCAACTCCAACTCAAGAATATCCGTCACAAAAAAATCATAACATGTAATCTGTATTTAAAACGACAACCACATGCAATGGTGACAGTAAAATTCTGGCGCTAGAAAATAAATATAGTCCCAGGTGGGTGGTGGTTTATAATCAATGCCTCTAGTTTCGCTGTCATCTGACGCAACACAAGGACTAAGCGATTAACATAGATATCTAGTTGGAATTTTATCGTTTTTTTTTACTTTCAGATGAATTGAAATTTTGAATTATCATTTGATATTTATGAATTTGAGAATTATCATTAATATAATTTGATATAACACCTGCTTATCATTAAAAAATAAATAATACAAAGTTGGCATTTCCAACGGAAGTGACCTTGGAAATTGATAACAGGTAATGTTGCTAAAAACTGCTGTTTCATTAAAATTATAAACCTTATCTGGATATCTAAGTTAATTTTTAATATGCAATATATTCTACAATGTAGTCAAGTGTTTATCAAAGCAGCCAAAACAGATATCTCCAACTTATACTTATCAGAACGAAAACATTTCCACAATTTTTATATCTGAAAAAGAAAAGAAGATGCATTAAAGAAGGTTGCTAATGGTCACGAGACACTTAATAAAACTAAGATCATCAAAAACTGTCAATATCGTCAACCAATTATAAAAATATGAAAGCTGAATCTAGTTTAAAAAAATTGGTCAAAAGTAATGTGTGTAAGTGTCTAATAATACTTGAAGAATGTTTCTTATTAACTAAATTTAAAAATACAATCTATCCAAAAATAAAGAATCATAAGTAATTTCCTTTTCTATATTTAGCAACTGTAAATGCTACTAATTTATTATGAATAGTTTAATTAAAAAGTATGTAAGTTAGAAGCAATAAAATAATCAATCACAATCACAACTACATGTAATAAAATTAAGGTAGAATTTAAAATACAGTTGGTTTTGCTTAAACATTAAATCTGTTTGGTAGATAATTTTTCTGTTCTAACAATCATTCAAATTTCGTCATTTTGTGTCATGTGGAACAATTTCACCCAATCATGTCAACATTAGACTGATAATTGCATTCAGAGCAATTTTCAATCCCTATGACAACACGATCGAGTTTGATAACTTCATCCAAATAAATTTCAAAATGTCACGTTTCGGCAATAATTATAAATATTATGCGTGGTAATAGATCTTCTATAGTAGAGAACAGCAACGAATCTAATGTTAACTTAAATTTTAATAATTGTACTTTCACTAACTGTACTTTTAATAAATAAATGTTTCGTTATGATTTTTTTTTTCGAAAAATTATCCGCCGAATATCCCTCGGACATTAATGAATGCCTCATAATTTTATGACAAATTTCTCAAGCTCGTTGCTTGGTAACAGCACTCAGCCTTCGGCTTCGTGCTGTTACCAAGGAACGAGCTTTCGATTGTCACGAAATTATCTCGTCTGTTATCAATGTCCCAGGGATATTACTAGGACATTGTTAATGTCCTAGTAATAATATTACTATTTAACTTAATGTTAACTTAAATTTTAATAATTGTACTTTCACTAACTGTACTTTTATTAAATAAATGTTTCGTTATGTTGAGTTATGATTTTTTTTTTCGAAAAATTATCCGCCGAATATCCCTCGGACATTGATGAATGCCTCATAATTTCATGACAAATTTCTCAAGCTCGTAGGCTCAGCCTTCGGCTTCGTGCTGTTACCAAGGAACGAGCTTTCGATTGTCATGAAATTATCTCGTCTGTTATCAATGTCCTAGGGATATTACTACTGATAATTTATTACTTTATTTAAACTGTCACGATATATGCTTTCTGAATTGGAAAAGAAATTCTCATAAGCCAAAAAATTGGAACTTTACTATGAGTACGTGATTTTTTTATTGGAAAATTTATTTCAATTAACTTTACATACATTTCAGTAATAGATTGAGCTAATTCTGTTGCTGTCTTGAGATAAACAACTCAAGCCCAGTCAACGTTATGTTTAACGACTGTTTTATCATCAGGATGCTATTGTTATATGTCTTCTATACATATACATATATATATATATATATATATATATATATATATATATATATATATATATATATATATATATATATATATATATATATATATATATAATTAGCACTATAAATTTTTTCAGATTTCATATTATTATTTCTAAACTTTACCTTCTTGTACAGTCCTCTATATTCTTTTCTTGTGAATATTGGTAAATCTTGATAGACTCTTTCAACAGCACCAATTTTATATAGTTTAGTAAGTGATGGGCATGTTACAGTATAATTTAGACCTTTTGAGAGCATCATGTTCTCTGTTGCGATTGGCTCTGTGTAAAATTCTCTCCAATCTTCCCCTTGATTACATTTAAAACATTGCTTGATTATATTTAAAAATTATTTTATATTACTTTTATTTCTTATAAATAATTAAAATGGTTTGTTTAATTGTTTACTAAGATTGGTCATATCGGACACATAAAGATTTTGTTGAAGTCGATTTTTTATTATTCTACATTTTCATTAGATTATAAAAGGTATATTGTCCCGTTAGCAACATTTAAGAGAAAAAAGGGTTAAGTTGCATATTATGTTCCGGTTTCCTTAAAAAATTGTTTAAAAAATTTATCTTGATTAGATAATGCTACAGCTTAATCAATCATTATTACATTAAATAGTTGTTATAGATGACCTTGATATTTTTAAAATATAGAGGACGCACAACCTTGTGTGAACAATTTACCTAATCACAAGTCGCAATGTTGTCGAAACAAGCGCTTCGGTTGAAATTTTCAACGCTTCTACAAACTGCGAAGTACTCCACAGCGACGAACCGAGAAAATTTTTATAAACATTTTACTGCGTCTAACAACGATGATGCGAATCCAGAGGGATGGGAGAACGCGAAACCGTTCGAGAGTATGCCTGGACCAAAACCTTTGCCGGTGCTTGGAAATATGTGGAGATTTTTTCCCGGAGGGGAACTTCACGGAATAAAAACAGATGAGCTGTTGCTAAGGTAAGTAATTTTATTTTTAAAAGTGCAAGCAGAGTCTGCTTTTTATATCGATTGTCTTCTTCTTTATCCAGTGTTTTTGTCAGTTCATCCTTGGACTTAGATCTTCTCCATTATCTCTTCAGTGTGTCTCGGTGTTGTGCATTATTCACACATTTTTTGCCTAAATTTTTCCTATTTTCCTTCCCCGCAGAATTGGAAATGACGCCCCCTTTAAAAAATTAATATGACTTTCGAATATCGTATCGAAATACGAAACGTAAACAGAAAACGCATTTCTAGACCTAAAAATATTGTTCTAAAATTCACAAAATTGCATTCCTCAAACATTTCAATAGTCAAGTACAAAGTATTTTAGTTTATAGTCGTCATCATAAAAGGTTGGGAGATCGGAAAAGATCAGGTTTCTGTTTATGGGAGGAGCAGATATGACTTGCTGAAAATGCCCATTATAAATTTCCATTCTTAAATTTAAACTTACAGGTATGTATTGTGTTGATTTGTATGTCGAAGAAATAATACAATAACACATTTTTTCATAATATATTAGACGGCCAGATGGAACCCCTGATATATTAAGGCCCTCCGCAAGCTTCATGCTGCGGGGGGTACTGCTATCGGGTCTACAATCATTTACGTTATCTTTCTTCTCGATATGACTTTCATAGTTATGTTTTCTTAGCCATTAGCAAGTCTTAAGATATTGTTTTTTGTTATTGGCTTTTGGGTAAATACTCCCGACACAGCCAGACACAAATTTTTAAAAACAGATACAATACACAAGTATTTTTAATAGGATTTTTAATATTTTATAAAGGATTTTAAATAAATTTATTGAGATACAATACAATGATTACACAGGGATTATACTCTTCTCGCCCGGGAGCCGATTAAGGCATTTTTATAAACGATAAAAGGTAGGCCTCGGACAGATAGGTATCCATACATTAAGGGAAGACATCAGGTGTCAAAAAAGGTGGTTATATATTTGTATATTCGTTGTTCTGACAAAAGACAGCAAACAATCGTAAATTTCTTTTTTGCCTAAAGCAAGTTTTGCCTAAAAGTTTTTTTGAAAAGCTCATGAGATTGAGCTCTATATTTTAAACAATCAAAATAGATGTAGTCCAGGTCACCGATTTTGTTAAAGGCTTCACAAAGATCACTCTCAAGTATTTTTATTTTAAATAAATGTGCTGGATAACATGCGTGACCAAACTTCATTCTGCTGATAGTAGTTATACTTTTTCGACTGTAATCGTACTCATTGTACCAAGGCTTTCTCCTTAATTTGGTTTCAAGTCTGGTGTAACGTATTGGATTTTGTAAAGCTGTACTCTTGCCATAAATAGCACCATTTCTTCATCATTCTCTGTTTTGCTATGATTATTTGTTAATCTGTAGTTAATTCGTAATTTATTTGTTACCCCATTACTATGCTTTATTTGTCAATTTGATCTGCAATTTCATTGTTTGTTATTCCTGCGTGTGCTTTAACCCAGAAGAATTTTATAGATTTATTTTGATCTTGTAAATGTTTAAGTATTGCTTGAATGCGAAAAATAATGTTATTGGTTGTGTTTGAGTTTGATTCTAAAATTTTAAGAACAATTTCAAATTATTGCTTCAGCTGTGAAAATAGATGTGTTTTTGTTTAACTTATATTTTTTCTGTATACGTTTAAGTATTACGAAAGCGCAACCTGTACTATCGGTGTTTTTTTATCCATCAGTGTATATAGTGACGTAGTTTGGATGTTCCTCTAAAATTTGATTTGCGACTATATTATTAAATAATGCCAACTGCGAATAAAGGGGTATATTCACATCACAGAAAACAAAGTGATCAAAGTAGTCGGTTCCCACCTTTGTTTGTGGTTTTAAGGTCACGTTTCTTAATCCACCACAAATAGGAGGAAACTTTTTATCAATCCAAAAAAGCTTAGTTAAGTAGTATTCGTTTAACTTATATATGCTGCTAATGAATGGTGAGTTTTCCTTTAGCGACTTAATAATAATTTTTTTAGCTAAAAATGATCTCAGTTCTAATGGAGGTTACTATTGGAATTACTTCAGCTCTTAATGGTTTAGATGTAGATTTCATTGCTCCAGACATATTCTGAGTGATTTGTTTTGTATAATATCCACGTAGATTTGTTTTATTGGCTGTTCCATAAAGTATACAACAATAATCAATTATTGATCTTATGTAAGCTTTATAGAAGATTAGAGCTGTTTCAGATTCTGGCACCCCACCAAGTTCGCATAATAGATGTTAAGAAGTCTAGTCCTTTATTGCATTTTGTCTCTCTTTGTTCAATATAAAGTTTCCAGGTCAATTTTCTGTCTAATGTGATTCCTAAGTATTTGACATTAGTATCCACCGGAAATTCTATACCATCTATTGTAATTTTCTGCATCGGTTTCATGTTATGTCTGGTAAAGATTATAATTTTGGATTTTTCTGCGGAGATTTGTAGCCCTAAATCACTTATGGATCTTAAAACGAGTTTCGTGCTTTAATTCAAACGATTGATGCATTAGTCTAGATGTTTGCTACGTGTATAAACAACAAAATCATCGGCATATTGTATAATAGTTGCTTTAGATATGGAGGTGTGTAAATTAGTAGTATATATATTAAAAGTAATGGATATTGTTTGGATATTGTTACAACAAATATAATTTTTTAAGAATTTCACTATCAAATCTATCTAATTACAGTATTAATATAAATAGATTTATACGTTCATGATGTACACTAAATTTTATTAACTAGGTACTTATAAACCTAAATATATTGAGGATTTTAATCAATCAACTGCACATTTTTATAAAGATAAAAATAATGCAAATAAAACTTTATTAAAAAGATAGATAAATTTAGAACATATAGCACTGGATTTTGACGATGAAAACTTGAGTTATCCTAATATAATTTTATTTAAAACAGAAAATAACAAAATTTTATATAATTAAGGAGACACAAATTGATGATTACGTCTGTATAATTAAAAATAAATTTAATATTCACCTGGGAAATTGTAACATTAGTATATGTAAAGCATCAGAGATAATATATAGAAAATTATATAATGTAAAAATCCTAATAATATAATAATAACAGTAATTTATAGACCACCATCAACAAATAAAACCAAGTCTTATAAATCATATTTACATTTACAAATCACTTATAAGATCAAGACTTTGAGATCAAGCTTACTATTCTGCAAAGAAAGCAGTACTTTCTCAGATTGAAATTACGTTTCCTAACAACTAAATGTTGGGCAAACAAAAATTCACTGAAAACGTTCATCTTCACAACTTTGCTTATTGAGTCAAAGAACAAGATCAACAATACATTACACTCTATCATTAATAACAAAATATTAAAATGATTCGGTCTCTATAAACTTTTAATTACAGCGTTGGCTGCAAAATAAACAAAAATGTTACATAACATCAGCAACAATTCAAGAAATTACTTTTACAATTGCGGCAATCCTGGATGGTATTCTTGGTAATAAAAATTTACACATATCAGGCTCGAAACTATCCCATAATTCACCTAATTTACTCATCAAATCGGCCACGGCTCTCTGGGGATCATTACACAATTTCTGGTTTGTCTTATGCCACAATGCCTCAATAACATTAAGGTCTGAACTGTTTGAAGGACATAAGATCACTTTAATGTTATTGTCTCAATAATAAATCAATTGTTCTGTAACAAACTTTGCTGGTTTCCAATTGTTACCATATTTATACAGATGCTTTCAAATCCACTAATTGTTGCTCCGAATACTATATTACCATTTAAATTATCAGCAATCAGTAGCATTTTGTCAGGGAAACTGTTTGTAATTCTATAAGCGTTAATTTATATCTGACCAAGTCTCCAAAGCTGACAATTACTGATTACCTCCCAATAACGTAGATGTATATAAATAAATTAATGGGTTATCTAATTCAGCATCGGTTACATCTTCTCTTTGAAACAAAATAGCAAGTTCATTTCATTAGGATCCCATCTCATACTGGTCTCCAAGACAACGAAAGAGCTGATCGTCATGCATGTGAAACAATACAAATTGTCCCCGGGTTTAAAGGATGTAGTGTATAGAGAAAATGAATAGCACCAGTCACATTCATTTCTACACACATTGAACCCACAGTAAATCCAAATTCAAGACACAAATCGGTTTAAATAGAACCAAAGGAACCAATTCCAATCTCTTCTTAGAGATGAAACATCCACGGATTACGTTATTAGAACGCGCTCCGGAAAATTAGTAAAAGCTCCCATTACGCTTGATCTCTAACGAGGTAGGAGATGTTATATATCCTGTATCGGAACAGTAGAAACTACGGAAAAATTAGACAGGCTTGTGTAGTAAGGTTATGTCATGTCGATGAGCAGCTGCGAATGTCCACGCTGCTATGATTAATTTAATTATTTGTAACCGTTTTATAAGTAAATAAATAGTTATGTTTTGTTAGTCTATTCTTCATTAAGTACCTACACAACACATTCATAAGGAGCAAAAAATTCATTTAATAATTTAATGTTTTAAGTTTCATTATTTTAATTGTAAAAGTATTAGTGTAGAGAAACAGTTATAACATCGTTTATAAAGTTCGTCCAGATTTCTTCTTTTTTAGTTTTTTATAGGTAGAATATTATTATATCATTTGAACATTCACCCTGCATGTACCTAGTGGGTAAGATTTTAGTTATAAGATAAGATACTATTTACTATATTTGTTTGATATACTTTAAAATTTATATTTCAGATTTCAACAACGATATGGTGATGTTGTACATTTTGGAGGAATATGGGGGCGCAGAGAGAAAGTCTTTCTATATAATCCAGATGACATGGAATATGTAAGTAGATTGTTACAACTTTTTAACAGTGTATCTTACTAAATATTTATTTGAAAATACAAAAGAGAAAAGGAATTTTTTGGCCTACCTCGTCAAGAGACCACGCAAACAAAATTTTGTCGTGACTGTTGCACGTTCAAAAAGAGAAACGGGGATGAATGGCGGGGAGTTTACGAGCACTCGGATTTTGAGGCTAAGGTCGGAGCTATTAGAAACTACAGTTGAATCCTCTAGGTAATTTAGGTGCACTCGATGGATCGATGGCGTGAGCAACATTATTTGAATATTTACTAGGAATTATTAAAATAAATTTTTGAAACTTTGAAAATCATTTGATACTTTTAAAACGGTTATAAATTAAAAAACAACTACTGTTATTTTTACAGCTATTTCGCAACACCGGACCTTTTCCTTCCAGACTTATTATGGACTGTATGTACTATTATAGAAAAAAAGTAAGGAAGGATTTGTACAAGGGGAATGTTGGTCTTACGTTTATGTAAGTATGTTTTATATATTTACTAATAGATATTTGTTAACTGAACATAAGAGTGATTTGTGGCATATTTGGGTTGAGAACTTAAAACTAATCCAAAAAGTAACGATAACCCAGTAGAATTAGACATATTACTCTTCTTCCCTGGCTTTTTCTTTTTCAGGGGTTGCTGTTCTTTACTCTTTATTCTTCATTTACTTCATTTAAACCTTTCTTTCTAAAATCCTCTGCTACACAGTCCTTCCATATTCTCCTCGATTTTCTTTTATCTTTCTTTCCATCAACTGCTAACAGCTCTATCCTTTTTTCCACACAGTTTTGATCTCTACATATGACGTAACCAAACCGTCTTTGTTCTTGAACCTTTTTTGAACTCTTTCCCTAATCACCTCCTATTATGACATTCTCCCCTTATGAAATATTACTAAGTATATGTCATATCCGATTATAGAAAGCTTTTCTTTTATTCTCACCTGATCATGTTTGAGGAGCATACATACACATACAAACCATTCAATACTACTGAATCAAGTACAAATTATTCTATTATTCGTTGTTATAACATCTACTACTGTCACCACGGGGGAAATGAAATAGGTCTAAACATCTTCTATTGCCTCCGGGTGCTCTGTAGAGGGCTTCGGAAACATCGTGAGCTCCTCTACTTTTGTCCATTTTCAGGGTATGGACTTCAAAATGTTTTGTCTCCTGATGGCTCGTCTTGATAAAGACGAGCTATTTCTTACATGACTTAGTCTTCTTATAAGTCAAAATAAACATCAGGTTCGTGGTCCTTCGATGACTTGCCTTGACAAAGGCAAGATATTTCTTACATGACTAAATAGTCGAAATAAAACACCACTCTGGCATTCCAATTCAAAGTCACAGATTCAATTTGAATTTTTCAGGTTAGAGAATTTTATTTTTTTAACTAAGCAAGTTTTTCTTGTTTTAGAAACGGTGAGGAATGGTATAAATTAAGAACTATTGTCAATCCAATACTAATGCAGCCCAAAACAGTTCAGCAGTACACCACAAGAATGGACGGAGTAGCTAAGGACCTCATGAAACTGATCAGATATCGTATGAAAAGTGAGGGAACTAATCAAACCTCCGCTGATTTCGAGAAAGATTTATATAAATGGGCATTGGATTCAGTTTCAATTATTGCTTTAAACAAAAAATTAGGTAGAGTATAATTTAGATCCGTTTAAATTTGCCTATGGTATTTTGCTTTTCGGTATAAAGTGAAGTGTTATAGGCACTATACCTATATTTTTAACAATGAGAGGGTGAACAAGTATTATTCTATATAAAAACTCCTTATTTTTAGGTGCTCTTAATACAAATACAGACAAAAATTCGGATATCTATAAATTTGTCCTTTATATAATAAGGCTGTTCGACCTAATCTTTTACTTAGAATTTATGCCTCCATTTTGGAAGTATCTTCCATCTAAACAACTAAACGAGTTTTGTGAAAAATTTGACTTTATTAATAGGTGAGTTAAAATTTATTTTTTTATTCGTAATTCCTACTTTAATTAACCCTTTCAGTACCGCTTTTTTTTTCAGCAAACGCAAAAATATTTTTTGTAAAACAGTTCATTTAACTATTTTTGAACATTAAAAAATAGATAACATGTATATATAAAAAAATATATTAAGGGTTTATTTGTACCTAAAAGTACTTAACAAATATTAGACAGCTGTATACCTTCTAGTTCTGTACCCAGGTGATCAAAATATATATTTAAAGTCTCGGATGACACCGCTGCTCGAGATCGTTTAATGTTTTGACATGTTTTGACAAAGTTGATGTTGAATGTTTTGACAAAGCTGTGTTCGTAGTCGTGTCTTATGTCCCTTCAAAAACCCATGTACAAAATATTTTCCCGGTGGGTTGTTGTTAAACTTACATTTTTACCCAGACTATCTAGGTATGTTTTTACCATTACTCTAAGATCGTATTTATCCAAGGGATAGCCCCAATCAGCACAGGTTATCAATTGTTTCAGTATAACTTCCTCTTCCAACTTTGTTAGTGTAGTATAGAGCATTGAATAGTGAATTTCATGTATTTTGAATTTTTACATTCCATTTCTTATGTCGTATAAGGCCCTTTCAAGAGCCTCACGATTGGTTTTTTGTAAAACTTGGATTATGTACATAGTCTCGCGGTATGGTTAATCTGAAACCAAAATAAAAAATACTGGAAAAAAAAGAAAGCGGGTGTGGAAACAAAACAGTGGGTGAAAAGAAATGGCGGTTGATCAGAAACTGCGGGTCAATAGAAACAAAATTGGGGTTAGGTTTTTACAAAACAACATTCAAATCAAACTACTGGTATGTTATGATAAATTTGCCAAGTATTCATGTTAAGTATAGACCCTAAGCTATATTATGACTAATTATCTATTTATTTAATTGATTTTTTCTTACCTTGTTACAAAAAGTTAATGAGCTCTTTGAAACATGACAAAATCAGCTGTGCAACTGAAATTACTGTTGTGCAGTATTTTTTATCATTTTGTGAGTTTATGTACCTCAATAGTTATTTCCCGGATTAAATTTAAACAACTTATGATTTTTTTAGTAAAATACGGTCATTTAGTTTCTATTCACCCTCCAGTTTCTTTTCACCCCGTTTTACGATATATTTATATATTGTTTACTTATTTTTTTGTAATGTCCACACATTCCCTTTATATCTTTTAATTTTCTATATCTGAAGAGTTTGTTGTGAACTTTTCTGCTTTTAGTGTAATTATCAAAATTATTGATGAAGAATTAGCAAACTTTAAAAATCAGAATGTACCAGACGATGAGCTTGGCGTACTGCAGCGTTTGACAAAAGTTAACAAGGAAACGGCATTTATCATGACAATGGACATGTTAACAGCGGGAGTTGATACGGTAAGTAAAATATTATAGATAGAAAGTAAAACAATTCGTCGTGTAGGTCGCAAAAAAACCCAAACTCTTTCTTCTTAAGGCCCGTTTTCACGCTACGTCTTATTCTACGTTTTGTTGGTCATATAAAACGTACGACAAAATGTACGTTTTGTCCAGTGTATACACACTACGTTTTTCCTTCCGACAAGACGTACGTTTTGCTGTTTACACGCCACGTCTTATTGTATAGGATTTGTCCTATCCAACAAAACGTACAATAAGGCGTGAAAACGGGCCTTTAGGGTGCCTGTCCGTTCCGAATGTTGGCGATCATTCTGGCTATGATGATTTTGTTGGTTGCTATACGAAATAGCTGTGTTGGGGTCTTTTTATACCATGCTCTCAGGTTAGCAAGCCGGGATATTCTTCTTCGTCCTGGGCTCTTTTTCCTTCAATTTTACCCTGCAAAATGCATTGGAGTAACTCGTATCTGCCTTGATTTCTCATTATATGTTCCAAGTACTCTAGCTTACGGCTCTTCAAACTCTCCTGTATCATATATTTACTAGCCGATTTTCTGTTCTTTAGTTTTTCAAGTGTTTTTATACTTCATACTTTTGCTCCCTATAAATGGCAACACTGCGCGCCGTCGACTTTCCACAAACCTGTTGGCTCGTCACCAGTAATTTGTCATTATACAGTGGTTGTTTAAAGCAATAAAAGCGTAGATTTTCAATTTATTTTTGTAAACAACATATCTATTTATACACCTGCAGATTCAAATAATAAGTGGATTTTATGGTGATAATTCTGGACAACAGTGCGTGGATTTATTTCCTGTGTTTTTTGAGGAAGGACCAATTCCTTGCGTCAATTCATAATAATGTTCAAAATTTTGAGAGTTGTTTCTGCCTCAAAAATTGCAGAAAATCTCACGCTCGAGAAGTATCTCCAAAAAAATTTGAGGACAGAGAATACCAGGATAAACAAATGTGTGCAACAATTGAGGTAGATTCAACACGTCTAAGTAGAAGCATTGCCAGAGAGTTATATGTTAGCAATGCTACTGTAATGAAAGTATCGAAAAAGCACAGTTACAAGAATTTTAAATATTCGAAAACGCAGCAGCTTTATCCAGATGACTACTTTCAAAGAATGGAGTTTTGTGAAACTCTAATAACGAAGGCTAATGGTAAACCAAATTTTATTAAAAACCTTTTATTCAGCGATGAATCTTCTGTTTCGTTATTAGGGAGATACAATTCTTTCGAGGTATTGGACACGGAAACAACATCACAGAAATGTTGTTTACCGAACTTAACGCCTTCAAAAAGCTAACGTCTGGATTGGCATTTTAGGAGACCACAAAGTAGGTCCCTTTTTTATTAAGGGCAACTTGAATAGTAGAGTATACCTCGATTTGTTACCGGATCAGGTTCGCCCCATTATTCTCAATCTTCCTGATGTAAATCTGGAGTTGTTTCATCAAGACGACTGTTCAGTTCACAACGTTGGAATAATTAGGGAGTGCTTAAACAATACTTTCCCGAATCAAACTGGAAATTAATGGAACAGGGATATTAAGTGCAATCTCCAGATCTTACACCCATGGACTTTTTTTTTGGGACATTTAAAAAGTATCATCTACGATCATTCCGAGGCTAGAGCCCAAAATTTGGATGAATTAAAAAAGCGAATAAGAGAAGTTTCCAATTCTGACATGACAACAATAATCGACGGACGGAGGTATATCCCATGCATTTTTGTATGTTACAGAATGATTTTCTCGTTTACTGTCTAGGTTTCAGGCGGGACTAGAGATTCGGGGAATTACAATTAAGTAGATCGGAGAGGCAATGTTGCCGATTTTAGTGCTGTACGTAGTATGCAATATCTAATTCAAAAGTTAACGTACTGTATGAACTTCTTCCTTTGTGATAATATTTGGTTTTTGTGGTTGCAACTTTATTCGTTGTTCCTCTGTATATAACTTCTTTAGATAGTCAATCTATGAATCATTTTCGACGTGTTTCTGGTATATTTTCCTCTGGTCTTTTACCTCTTACAAAGCGCCATACTTCTTTTTGTAAACCATAAAAATCATTCTCCAGTTATTTTGAAAAGCGTTTTCAGTGATGGTTTTTAATTCTTCTTATACATATATGTGTTTCATTTCTTATTCTCTTCCAATCTGCTTACGCTGGTTTGTCTTGTTTGACAGGTACGTCAGGTAAGCTTTTTTCTTTTCCTTGCATTTTTATTTCATCTCTGTATAAAACCACGAGTTTTTCACTTTGGAAAGACTTGCTTTTATTTATCTTTCTATCGCACAGAGCTTTTTTAGCTGCATCTAATATATTTGCTTTAATTTTTGAACAACTTTACTCGACTGTACATCAGTGTACATCAAGTAAAGTACTGTGCATCAAGAAATTTACTACTAACCTCTTTGTCACTGAATATATCTCCAAGTACAGAGGAACCTATCTAAAACCTATCCAAACAGCTAAAAAAATGTACTATGAGAATCGTCTGGGAATCTCTAAAAATGTCGCAAGGAAACTTGGTCTATATTAAACGATCTTCGAAATAAACTAACACAGCTCAAACATTTTCTCTTCCAAACCCTAAAAATCTAAATGATTGCCACTTGATGCCACTTGATGCCAGTATAGACTTGTAATTATTTGTAGATCTTTATCGTCCAATCCATCTGTTTCCAATATTTCTAGCATTTTGTTATGTCGGACTTTGTCAAAAGCTTTTTCAAAATCGATTGCACAAATGTACACATTTTGATTTATATCTCTGCATCTCTGTACTAGCACCTGTATACTAAACAAGGCTTCTCTTGTACCCAAGCCACTCCTAAACCCAAATTGAGTATTGCTAATTCTGTCCTCTAACAGCGTGTAAATTCTGCTGTGTATTACTCGCAGGAAGATCTTCAAAACGTGACTCATCAAACTTATTGTTCGATAATCACCGCATGTCTTTGGACGATGTTTCTTAGGTATTGTGACAATGGTCGACTTTAACCAATCAGTTGGTAATATCCGAGTGTCATAAATTCTGTTAAAGAGATTACACAGAGCTTTAATTCCATTTTCTCCCAAAAACTTTAGTAGTTTTTCCATTTTTTGCCGTTTGTATTGAACGTCTTACCTCACTTTCTGTTATAGATGGACCTGATATAGCAATCGGTGTATAATGTTCTACTCTCCCATCTTCAAATAATTCAGAAATGTAGTTTTCCCATTCTTTTTACTTTTCATTGATTTCTAATATTCTGTGTCCGTTTCTATCTTCTAAACTTTGGGATACTTGTTTCCGTTTGTTTCCAGCGACCTCTTTTTTAATTTCTTTTGCAGATGAAATGTATCGTGTTTCTTTTCATATTATTCAATTTCATTACATTTTTTACTATGAAATTGTGTTTTTGCGTGTCTTATCTTCTGCCTGATTATTGCGTCTATCCTCTTGTATTCGATTTTATCTTTATTTTTGACTTCTCTTCTTTGATCCATAAGTCTCAGTATTTCTTCTGTCATCCACCCTTGATTTTTTCTTGCTTTTAGCGCACTCAATTTTGTTTCTTGAACAGTCTTTAAGATGTCTTTAATTCTCGTCCAGTTTTCCTCAGTACTTTCTTCTTTGCTTGATGTTAACTTCATTTTTTGTTCCAATATACTAGTTATTTCTTGTTTTACAGTATCATTTAACATCTTTTCTCTATCAATAGTAACTGTTTGCTTATTCGTCCTTGCAACTCTTTTTAATCTCAGTCTTATTTTTCCTACTAAAATATTGTTATCTGTTGGTACAGCTGCGCCTGGATATGTTTTTATTGCTAATACTGAATTTCTGTATCTCTTATTTATACATATGAAGTCTATTTGGTTACGAACAACGCGTTCAGGTGTATCTGCTGGTGATTTCCAGGTATAAAGACGACGTTTTGGAAGTTTGAAAATTGTGTTCGTTATTACTAATTGCTTTTCTACGCAAAAAGATGCCAACATCTCCTCTTGTTTCCAGCAGCAACTAATCATGACTACCCCACCATAAATTCAACCTTTGATGTGTATTTACCGATCTGGTTCACTAAGTTAGTAAAGAAATCTATATTATATTCGACAAAAAATTATACAACCATCTCCCTTTGCAACTTAAATCTACAACTTCTTTCCTTAAGTTTCGTAAAATGACAAAAGCCTCTCTATCTGAAAGTATCTGTAAGAATAATACCATATTATTCAGCGAAAGAGTTTCTTAACGAAAAACTAAGAAATTACAGTACGTTTATGTACAAGTAACTAAAGTATTTTTATATATATTTGGGTATCACATGCAGCAACTTAAGCTTGCTTATTATATAGTTCGTATGGTTTTATTATGCAATTAGCAATTTATTTAAATTTACCATGGATTGTGTATTTTATTATCTTTTCATTTGTGATATTGACAATTTATGTAATTATTTTAGTAAATTTTAAATTTTTAATGTTATTTTTCTGACTTTTTGTAAGCTTTGTACATAAAATTGTACATTTTTCAGTAAAAATCAAGTATATTTCTATTCTATTCTAAAATGTGGGAAGAGAGTAGCTCCCTATTTAAAAAAATATGTACTACTTTTGTTACTATTTTTCTTTTTCTTATTACATTAGGCTCCTTGGCCTGACCGATTTTGAGCTTGTATTCGTAGTTGTGATGTTGACATTATTTTTTCAGACGGGAAAAACACTTGCAGCAGTATTGTACTTTTTGGCTAAGCATCCAGAGAAGCAAAGCATACTCCGTGAAGAAGTATTAAAATACCTACCAGAAAAAGACTCAGTATTAACACCCGACAAATTGTCTGATATGCATTACTTAAAAGCTGCCGTCAAAGAGAGTAGTAGGATTGCTCCAGTTGCTATCAGCGGTCTCAGAACTACCACAAAGAACATGATACTAGGAGGTTATCAAGTACCAAAAGGAGTAAGTACTAGTTTTTAATTGTGTAGTAAAGTTTTTCATTTAACTTTGAAAACTGATATGAAAATTTGATAAAAATATAATACGTATAATAAAGAAATATTCCAAAATATTAGCACAAATGTCTCTACGGCAATTTTTTTTAAATTTTAATAGCAATTAAATAGAAAGATGTATTTATTCGTGTGTAATGTGTCGAATTATGCTGTTGCACTGCTACTAATATACCTAGTAATCCACAGAGATAGTTTCGTCAGCAGTAATCTTATATTACCATGATTGACCAGCACTACTACTGCCGTTCCAGGTTTTGGTCTTGTGGTAGACCAATTGCTCGAGTGGCAGTTGCCGTAGCGATCCTAGCACTGCTCACGTGTTTTGGAAGGACAACTCAGTGACACCGCATGAATAGTAGCAGTGCGTGATTGGCAGCAAAATACATAAATCAATTTTTCACTGGATTGCCGCAGTATCCATCAGGGGACGGTGGCGCCAAATCTGAGAATCACTAGTTTAGAGAAAGACAATAATTTAAAAAACCAAAAAATGAGTAGGAAATTTTAAGAAACGTATTTAGTTTTTGAGTATATTCAACTGACATAAATTTCTTACAATTTTTTCTGGATCTTATAGTTTAAGTTTCTGTTGTATGTTTTTCTGTTGTGTCCCTATTTTGTAAATTACTTTATTTATAAATCATAAATAAAAAATATTATTTTTTATCAGACATGTATTAAAAATTATATATCTTCTACGAAGATAAAATTACTAAATAATACTCTTGATATCCTGATAGTGTAATATTTGTCGTGTATATCTACATTAAAAACCTAAATTTCATAAAAATTTCCTGTTTCAGACAGATGTTTCTCCTATGCATTTTTATGCATCAACATTGATAGATAAAAATTTCAAAGATCCAGCTAAATTTATACCGGAAAGATGGCTACGATCTGTCAGCAACGAGTACTCCGCGAAAAACGCTCATCCGTTCGCTTACATGCCGTTTGGACATGGTGCCCGTTCTTGTGTCGGCAGAAGATTTGCCACTTTGGAAATAGAAGTTGCCGTCGCAAACGTAAGGATAATTTTTTTTTTTATTAAGGTGCCGAAATAAGTAACTGCAATTCATGGTATTTCAATATAATTAGCAGTTATTAAAATTACTACGCCGGTCTTGGACCACTACGTCATAGACGTATATATTAACACAGACTGAGCAGTTTGTAGAGCTAAGTGACAACACCGTCTTTTCTTTTTCGTTGTTCATTGTGTCACTTATAATACATTCAACCAAGCTTGTGAGCTTTTGTCACATTTCCCTAACTGCATCGTCACCAATGACGTATAATATATAGACTCGGTGAACGCTTTAAAAAGTGTCCAAAACATGAATACCTTTGTTATTGTTTATTGTTTTGATACGAAGATGCACGAAGTTCATGATTTCTTACGAAAGATCACGAAGTTGATCTTGTGTTTGAAAACATCATGGACGTATGAAAACATTTTCTCCATTTTGTGTGACAAGCAAATTCTATTTTAAATTGTTGAGAGTTATTTACTTACTATTTTAGTAAAATGCCATACTATTTTATCAATATAATTAGTTCTCTTATAGACGGGAACAAAAAGAAATCATAAATATTTAATTTTAATTAAAAAAATAATTATTGTCATTAAACATATAAATGAACACGCCGCTGTTCTGATAAACATACCTTCAACCTTGAGCCGAGATCTTTCGGACACTCGATTCTATAGCGAGAATAGGGGACCGCGGTGGGACCGCGTAGTCTATATATTATACGTCATTGATCGTCACTGTATCCACTGCATCCAACGTGATTATCATAATATGTTTTACATAATACCCAAGATGTGTTCGATGAGATTAAACTGGCAGTGATACGGCAGTAACCGTAGTACTTGATGTCCATAACTTGATACAATTTGGTCAACTATATAAACTGTTGGTTTTTCATTACGTTTCGAAATTTCCAGTAACTCTGATTTGAAGGCGTATTCCGGAAAATTGATATTATTTTTAACTAACCAATTTTTTATGCTCGGTACGTTTCACGACTATTTTGGATATATCTCCAAAATCCCCAAATGATAAGATGCATTATCTGAAACTATAACTGATGGTTCACTCAGACTAGGTAACAGTTTATCCTCAAGCCATTTAACAAACATATCTGCAGCCATGTTTTCATGGTAATCAGCAGATTTTGATTTTGAAGAAAAAATCAAATCTGCGTTTTCTATAAAGGCTTCTTTCCCTTATGCATGAAGAATAATATGTCCTTTGCCTTTGCTATCTGTGTGTTTTATTGATTTTATGCTGTCCTTTTGCCAAATTCTTTTAATTCCACCCTTTGCAAATATCCATGTCTCATTGAAGTATACGAATATTACATTTTCAAATTTAAGTCTCCCACTTGATGTACTTGTTGTACATCAAGTAAGTAGAGCAGCGTCTCGTTTTGGTGGAGGTGAGAAGGAATGATGAGGTTTATTGTGCTAGAGATAGATCAAACCATCGCCAGAGATCTTGTCTTCAGTACATGCTGCCAGTATGCTCGGTCTATGTTAATTATATAAATACGTCTATGCACTACATACGACTTTAATATTCCGCTGTTAGATAGTCGCTCATGGAACAACAATTTCTCATTCAAATATTCGCACAAGATTATAGGTTAGAAAGATAGATTATAGGTTAGATTATTAGGTTAGAAAGTGCGCCTGATTAAATGCTAACTTATAAAATATCTATGACAAGAAAAATGACAAAAGAAGGTAACTACCCCCAGAAGATCGAGCAGAGTTATTGGTTGAGAAAAATATGATAAATCCTACCGCGAAGAAACCAAAATACCACCAAAATAAATTGAGAAAAACGCCAGTAAATACAGGAACAAATACGAAAGAAGTGATTGTACGAATTACCAAGGGTTTAGTATAACCAACTCAACTTCTTTGATATATGGGAAGATAACTAAACGCCGAATTAAGACGCTGAAGATGAGAGTGGCTTTCGTGCTGTTGTGTTTCTGTATAGACAATGTATTCTGTCTAAATCAACCAATAGAAAAGCGCTTGGAACAAAGTATGTAGGCACACATGTTATTTGTTGATCTTCAAAAGGCATATGGTACTATTCCATTAGCCAAATTGTGTCAAAGATTAGACGAGAAGTGACAAATAAGTTTAAGATGGTCAAAGGAGTTCTTTGGTCTACGTTTTTAAAGTTTTGTTTGTTTAAAGGAGGTATCTGCTACAGCTTAGGTAACTTGCATTTTGTAGGTAACCAAGGAATAGTTACAGAGGATCAAGATAATATCCAGTACATGCTACGATAAATATAATCATAATACCAAGTAAACCAAATTATTGTGGTATTAGTGTATGATGAATTTAAGTGGTTTTTAAATATTTTTTATTTCTTATGTGAAAAAAGATGTATTATCATTGATTTTTCAAATATAAATCGCATTTACAATAAACGAATTTTTTATTTGCAGATGATCAGGAATTTTGAAATGTCTTGGGACCACCCAGATATGAGATTTGAAGCTAAGTTCTTGTATGGCTTAGCGGATCCCCTTAAACTTACCCTTAAAGAACTGAAGTAATTAAAATTTGTTAAAATTAAGATTTCGTTTAGGTTAAGTTGGATTTTATGAATATTTCATATTTTTCTTATTGTTGTAATTAAATTGTTTTTTTTTTATATAAATAAATAACATTAACTATATAAATTAATTTATGATAGAACCTTGGTCTATTTGTTCTCTGGATTCAGCATCATAATAACTTTATCTATCTTCTAAAGCTTTAGCACGTATTTTGGACAAAATACAGCGTTTATAATATGCTCTAACTTGATTGCTGTTTTGTTTTTGATAATTTTGTAACCTACAGTGAAACTTTTTCATAACGGACACCAACGGGGAACGTGATTACACAAGAACAAAATGATGCAGATATTGATTATAACTAAAATAAACTATATTTACCCACCATTTTGTATTTTATGTAAAAATCACATAATTTTTGTAATGTTTTACTTTAAAATATCCTACTATTTTTTTTCCTTACGTATTTCCTTAAATTTTCAGTTTTTTTTTATTTATATTTTGGGATCAAAAACCGTCTACGTGGAAATTAAAAAAAAATTAACTTTATTTCCAAAAATTCTAATTCGAAAAGTTATAAAAGCCGTTGATTTCTATTTTCCATAGAAAATATTAAATTACTAAATTTTATAAAACTAGGTGACTTAAACGTTTTTTTCATTTTTCTCAAAACTGTAAGAACTACATGTAGCCGGTTTTTGCCTCATAAGTCTCATAATTTTAGGTACGTATTATTTAAATTACTTACCGTTATAGTAAGTTCTAGTTCATTGTCACTCTTAGTGTCAGAAACATTGGACACCTGTTCGTTTTCTTTAACATCACTAACGCAACTAGTCAAGTTTACTTCGGGATTTTCCGTCAATAGAGCTGCACATCAATCTCTAGGTAGTTGAAAACATTTTCAACTCTATGACTTTCGCAAGGGTTGACAATGAAAAATCATCTTCCAGGTCTTGCAGCTTCAAATTTTCCACAATTTCTGCTCCATTATTATTATTTTTTGAAAAACCGCACCTAATGAAACACTTTTTAACTTTTTTGAATGAAAACGTCTCTCCATGCTGCCACAATCCAAATTCACGAGTTAGCAATCGTTATAGACTTCTCCAGTTCAGCCGTTGATAAAGAACATTATAGAGATGATAATATGCTTTTTATTAAAATCTTTCTATACAGGGATTTAAAAGACACTACCGAGCATAAAATTAGGGTCACCTCGTAATTTGAGTTTATTTTAGAAATTATTATTCAGTTTTAATTATTTTCGGTTGTAACATAGTTTACTAATGGATTTATTGAAAAAAAAAATTGTTGTTGTTTCGACAAGCGTTCATCAATCTCTAGGTAGTTGAAAAGATTTTCAACTATATGACTTTCGCAAGGGTTGACAATGAAAAATCATCTTCCAGGTCATGCAGCTTCAAATTTTCCACAATTTCTGCTCCATTACTATCATTTTTTTGAAAAACCGCACCTAATGAAACACTTTTTAACTGTTTTGAATGAAAACGTCTCTCCATGCTGCCACAATCCAAATTCACGAGTTAGCAATCGTTAGAGACTTCTCCAGTTCAGCCGTTGATAAAGAACATTATAGATGATAATATGCTTTTTATTAAAATCTTTCTATACAGGGATTTAAATACACTACCGAGCATAAAATTAGGGTCACCTCGTAATTTGTGTTTATTTAAAAAATTATTATTCTGTTTTAACTTTTTTCGGTTGTAACATAGTTTACTAATGGATTTCTTGAAAAAAAAAATTGTTGTTGTTGTTTCGACAAGCGTTTGAGATAAAAAGGGCCCCTTCTTAGCCTGATTCCTAAAAACCGTTACCAGCACAGTTTTTGTTTCTATGGTTTTAACGTCAATTTTAATTGTTTGTATATTGTTATCACTGTTAGTATATTGCAATGCTCATAAATTCTGTTGTGGCGGCGTTAGAAGATGGCCACGGTCACCGCGAAACTGCGAGAAACGTTGGTGTAAGTCTTTCGAGTGTGCAACGAGTATGGCAACAGTACGAAGAGATCGGTCTGCTTACTCGAAGACTTGGTTTAGGTCGAGGCAGGTTTGCAACAGCTAGAGATGACCGCTTTGTCGTTTCTAGTGCTTTGAGAAACCGAACGGTCACGGCAGAAATTGTTCTAAATTTAATGTTATGTTAAAGCAAAACTTGTCAAGCCAACCATTGGAAGCTTTAAAATTCAAATTAAGTACTTTCGCCGCCACTAAAGTTCTTTCTTTTATTATCGGTCCAAATAATGGAATATTCTTACTTCTCACTTTACAAAACCAATTGTAAACTATAGTATTAATGACAACGCCTTTAATTTTAATCCTCTGTTTCTGTTGAATATTTCCACTTTGACTATAGCACTCTTTTAAATCAGCCTTTTCTTTAAAATGTCACTAAGTTGAGTTTTTTCTATTTGAAACTTTTCGCCAAATCTCGAACACTACAATTATTTTTTCAGGTGCTTCTATCACCAATATTTTTTCTTCCAAACTTAAAAAATTTCTTTTAGTTGAAGACATTGTTAGGCTTAGATCAGAATATCTCAACTAAATTAGAAATGTGTACAAAGGACGAATAAATTTTAAAATGGATTTTTCCAAATAAAACTCGATGTACCAAAAGTACCTAGATTTATTACCATAAGTACCTACTTATATAATTAGTTGTATGGCTACAAAAAGCTATGTACATATTTGGATTTCCAGAGCCCCAATTTTAATCTTTTAATCGCCTTTCCCTGACTGTCTGTTGTTGGCAGGTGAAATTACAATAATTTCTTAGAAAAACTGAAGGCAAATTTGGTCCGAAGTTGATGTGAAGAGGATCCGTTTTTCGGAGGTGTCTTCCAGTTTGATTTTTGTTGGGTTGGGATATTTATTTAATTTTTGTGAAGTTATTTGTAAGCTTTCTCGTTCAGCTTTTCAGTTTCCAGAGGGATTATTCAGTTTCTTTGTCAATCGTTAACACTGCTGTCTTTGGAGAGATATAGACAGATTTGGACAGAATATTTTTACTAAATGTAATGTTAAATACTGGGTGATGTCAATCTTAATTAAAAGTTGTTTTTGTGTCTACGTAGTTTATAGATATTTTCCTTAATATTTAGTTCATCATGTCTAAATATTCTCTTTTTAATAATGACGTTACCCTTTTTAACGTATTTTTTAATTTAAAAGTATCAAAACTCTTTTGATAGTCTCTATAAAGGCTTCAAAACCTTCTGAATTAACAAAATTAAAAAGAATAATATTTTTTCTATAAATGCAATTGCACCAAAAGAAAAGGTGTCCACCCCATGTATTCTCTGGAAAAAATTATCGCTAAATTCATCAAAAAAGTAGAAATGTACCAGTAATTATACTCTCTAATGCCCGTTTGACAACCCTCAGACTGTGCTACTTATATTTCAATACACAGAAAATACTTTGTAACGGTTAAATTTGCCTACCATATTGGGTATCATTTATGTTTTTATTTATTTATAAAAGTGGGTACTGGACATTTATTGGGTTGGAGATAGGGTAGGCAAACAAACCGAAACGTTTGCGAACGGCCACTCTTGTTTTGGTTGGAGCGCTAGGTCGTAAGTAAGTTAATCAAGGAGGGATTGAGAGGGGTAACTACAAAAAAAGCAATTAAGAAAATAGTTACATAGATTTCCTGGGCAACCAAACACAAGAAGGTTCATAATCTATTTGAATTTGGACGTCGTTTAAAAGAATCCTCTTGTTGGATAGAAATAAAGGCTTTTTTCCTAAAAAAAAATATTAAAGGGTAAAAAATGGAAATAATTTTACAACTCCTGGTTTAAAGAGAAACATTACACATTTATTATTACTTCACGTCAACAGTTATTACAAATAAAATTAACAAAATTATTATTAAACTGAAAATATCTAGATTTTTCAGCGGAGCTTACATTGACTTTAAACAAAACAATTCAAATTTATGGTTATGTACCAATTGTCAAAAAAGGATAATACTTACTGTCATATGTCAAAATGAAATATTAAACTTGTTTTGAAATATTAATTAAATATTAAAATTAATTGTTTTTAAAAGACGACTAATATGACAATTAGCTAATCCATAAAGATTATAATTTTATTTATTTAAAATTTGTTTTATATCCATGTGCGATCGGTACTCACCGGAGGGACCGCAGACGTTCGGATACAATTAGCGTCTCTTAGCAAAGACAATGACGTCGACTTTGCTAAGTATCAAGACAAATTACTCTACACATACACACACACAACACTAGGTACCTGACTGTACCATGCCAATGATCATAGTTGTCGAGGCATTAACTCAATAAAAAAAATTGTTTTAATTTGTTAGGAAAGCAAATTTTTTATTAATGAACAATGTCTACTGTTACTTGAAAAAATTTTAACAAAAATTACCTTATATCACTCTGGCTCGTATTTCCTTTAAGAAATTTTTGGGATTGAAATTAGATCAAAAACTATAGTATTTCACGATATACAATAAACTATTATATGGTGTTCTTATATCTCCTATATAATTCAGCTTCTCGAAAGATAGTGGGTTCTGTAGTACAGGTTGTCGTTTCAAAAGAAATTTCGGTATATATGTGAAAGTATTTTTGTACTGGTAAAATTTGATTCTAAATGAGGATTACATTTCAAAGAATGAGTAAAATTGCGTAAATGTGATGCTGATAATGTACCAAAAATACCAAATGACAAAACATTTTCAGCCTATAGTATAATAGTTAGTTCGAGATATTTAGTCGATTTTTTTTAAAAGTGATACATTGCAGGATATACAAAAAATGCAAAGGTCTTGTTTATATAAATATACATACTTGTTTTATCGATTTCGTTTAAATGAAGGAATTTGTTTGATAGATTTAAAATGACAAACTTATAATAATCCTGAAAGAAAAGGGCTAATATGATCTAAGCAATCTTGGTAGACGCAGAAGTAAGACAAGGGTGCATGATATCGCTGTTGTTATGTAACATATACTTCGGACATATTTTTACACAAATTCGGACAAATCATAATGTCACGCATATCAGATATCAGTAAAGAGTATGAAACAGATGTTAATAAAAAAACAAAATACACGATATCCATAACTGTATAAGTATACATAGCCAATTAAACGGATCTATAGATTCGCATATCTTGGTGTCAACATAAAAAGATACACCATTAAAATAAAGAAACATACAAGGAAGGCAAAATCGCCATTAATAAAGATAAAATATCTTCTGCAACCATAAATACTCGGAATTAAAGTATTTATCCTTGTAAGTTATATTTTTTCTACTTTAATCTACGTAGTATTGATAGTGGCGCTTTCCGAAGCTTCTTTTAAAAAGCTCAAAGCTTTCGAGATATGGAACGGATGAGTAGAAAGCCAACTTTGCATAATCGATATATTTTCAACATTTCCCTCAACGGTAGGATAACGTATTTAAAAATAATTAATTTAATAATTTTTATATTATCGGGAAATATATTAGTGTCCTTTCTTAATTTCATATCTTCTGTACAAGTAGATCGAATATTACGAACAAAAATACTGAATTACAGAAAGCAATTAATAGGAAATCTATTTTCCTATTTTCTTACGATTTCCTATTTAACCTCATATTTTTGTATTTCTCTCTCATTTTTGTTACGATAAATATTTTAAATATTATATTCGAAAAATATTTCTAATTAGCAACGTTTAATAAATAAACCAATAAAATTGTAGACGTAGCTTCATTATTAAAAATTATTGATGTTTTTATTTGAAGGTGATAAGAGAATGGATTAGTCAGTTAGTATAAACACAAAAATTGTTAAAATTGACCTTCATATATTTCCTAATATTCACCAAATAGAACCGATTGTCAACAATTAGGTATTTAAGTATTTTTATCATTATCTCACGAGCCGTCATGCTGTCGAAACGCGCTTTTCAGTTGAAATTTTCAACGCTTTACCACGCTGCGAAATATTCGACGGCTCCTAACCGAGAAAACTTTTATAAAAATTTAGCAGGCGCTCACAATGATGACACGAATCCAGAGGGATGGGAGAATGCCAAACCGTATGAGAGCATGCCTGGACCGAAACCTTTGCCGGTGCTTGGAAACATGTGGAGGTTTTTTCCTGGAGCAGAGCTTCATAATATAAACACGGATAAACTTTTTCTTCTGTAAGTATATTTTTTTAGTAATATTATTTTGAATTGCAGAGGTTTGATCGGTCAATAATTGTCACGGTCAACTTCATTGATTTACTAGAATACGTTTCACTTTTTCTTTTTTTAAAAATCATCATCAGTTCTTACATATATTCACCCTCTACATACAGTGTGTCCGTAAAGTATGGAATAAATTTACACACGTCGATTTTTAAGTTTAATGTTCTACATTCTACAACAAAATTTCATTATAAAAGATGATACATATTAAGATAATGACGTCATCGGCTCTTTTTTTTAATGTAACACCCTATATGTTATGAACTTTTTATATAGACAAAAATTAGCTGATTCCAAAAAGTACAATACTCGATGTCTAATGGATATAATTTGAAAGATGTGCGCTTAGAAAATAAATTATTCATTCAAATTATCAATTATCAATTGCAAAAAGTAGCCTACTACTAGTTTTTAGTGAAATATAATTATTTTTAATAACGTTCAATAACAATTAAGTAGTACAATAATAATTGTATTAACTCGTGAATGTGCTGTATTATTGCTTAGAATTAATTTGAAGTAGAAATGAATTTGAGTGTCAAGCCAAATAACTGAAAGATTGATGATTGGGTAGAAGACAAATCGTGAACTCAGATGGAATTGTGTAATTTATTTAATGATAAATATCCGAGAAAGACCCATAACGCAGTCAACAGTAAGTAAGATTGAAAAGAAGTTTGTAGAAACTGGTACGATTGAAAATTCACGCAAATCAGGTCGTCCCTTTGTAAATTATGATACAACATTAGATGTTCTACTTGCATTTAAAGAAGATGCGCACATTTCTGTTCGTAAAGTTAGTCGTGATCTCGATGTTTGCAAAACAACGGTACAGAAAGTAATAAAATTTGAAAATGGCACCCCTTTAGATGCACATTTGTACAGAAATTAAACGAGATTGATCCAGATAAAAGAATACAATTTTGCCAAACAATGATGGATAACTGTCACCGAAATTCTCCCTTTGATGGTAAGATTTGGCATTGTAAGAAATAGAATCATCGGATTCTACTTTTTCGAAAGTAATTTAAACGGGCCAGCATAAATTCAGTTTTTAAGAGGGTAATCTGGTACCTACTTTATTTAATTTATTCCCCAGTAGAATTAATCCTGGAGGTTTTGATGAAAGTTTATGGTTTCAACAGGATGGTGGGCCTCCGCATTATGCTGTAGATGTTAGAAGGTACCTAAACGAATTTTTTCCGAACAGGTGGATTGGAAGACGTGGACATATTGAATGGCCAGCGAGGTCGCCAGACCTCAATCCTTTGGATTATTTTATGTGGGGTCATTTTAAGAATGTTGTGTATAAAACTAAACCTGCAAATATTGAAGACTTAAAAACAAGAGTTCGTAAAGAAATAAACAATATTTCTCAAGAAACCATAAACAAGGTTCTACAAGAATTTGTACAACGTTTGGGTTACTGTCAAATAGAACAAGGGCTACAATTCGAACATTTAAGATAAACTCTTGTATTTATTACTGGATTACTTTCAAATCAATAAAAATTAATTTTCTAAGCGCAAATCTTTAAAATTATATCCGTTAGACCCTTTTTTTTATTTTTAACCCTATTTTGATAATTTTTTTAGCATACTGTTGTATAAATTTATAAATTTTAATTTGATATAGTCAGTTTTTTGATAAAATTTTATATTTGACTTATCCTACGCAGTAGCGCACCTAGAATTGTCCTCTGGGGGGGTTTTGGTTGGGCATCGAAATTTTTTTATGCTACCTCCACCATTTTAAGTCCTTAAAATTTGTAAATAACAGTGTCGGAATAGGGTCCTGGGGGGGTTTGACCCCCCCCCCCCGAAACCCCCCTTGGTTGGGCCACTGATCCTACGGGGTTAATTAAAACGTGCTTTTATTATCTTAACTTTAAAGCATCTTGTGGAATAATTCCGTCTACGGATTTTCGTAAAACTTTTTTTTCAGTTGTAACCATGTCTTCTAAGCATTGTGTTTTTTGTTTCATGTCAAAATATGACTCTGTACCCCGGAGGTAAAGGATACTATGTCACAATTTGTTAATTGTTCAGGAGAGCAAATTTTCTTTAATTTTAAGTTATAAAAATTCGGTTCATCAAAGCTAATAGAAATTTCTTAATGAAACCCCTACAAATTGTTAATAGTACTCTTAGGCAAATGGGAATAGTGATTTTGGAACTTTAATTATGATAGTTACCTTAAAAAATTCATATTTTGTGGACATAGTATTGTATACCTCTAGGCTTGATATGTGTTCGATGGACATAATATAAGAGTATTATTGTTGAAAATTATTATTATTCACTATTCAATTTGAAATATTGTTTCTTTATGTTGATTTTATGGCAGGTATAATAATACAACAAGCGTGTGATAGGACATTGTTTTATTAAAAAACAAATCATTTTAAAATTTTAATAATACACTACATACACAGTACAGGATACTTTCTTTAGGGTAGGTCCCTATAAAATCCATGGAAATAACTGTGAATAAAAGGTAAGAGAGAAATTAAGTCATTGCATTTTCGTTCGGATATTGGAACAACCTTCTTTTGTGGAAGGCTGATGGAAATGTAGGCCTACATCCATTCAATCTTGAACTACTTCTTGTATTCCTTTTCTTCAGGTCAACTGCTTGGAACTCTCCATCAAATGATGTTTTTAGGAAAATCATTCCAAGATTTTCCTGCCTCAACTGTATGTGTACACAATTTGACATAAGAAATTTCTCATTCTCGATGGTTTTTTTTTCTATGTATAAATGGTGTGTTTTGACCCTTATACAGTGCATCAAATTGTTTAAAATCTTCTTGTTCCATGTTGTATACATAGTATTTGTTAGAACTCTGACGTACCATTTGCTGCCATTCCCAAGTAGTGAGGATTGTCAGCTTGTCAAGTTCTTTCAGTTTTTTTTTCATTAATGCATGAATAGAATCAGCCTCCATGGTGTGTGCCCTTTAAGGAGGTACTTTACGTTGACACACTCTATTTGACGATATTTTTTCATAATCCAGAAAAAGCGCAACACAATGAAAATATTTTTATTTTGCTCAAAGCAATTATCGGACCAAAGTGTAATTTCGTTAACATCAGAAGTAGATATAATACTGTTGGCGTATTTTAAAAAAGCAGATGAAATTTCCTCTCCACCTCGGCCATATTTGGACTCATCCCACATGATGCAATGTGCACTTTTATCTGACAAATTGTAAAGTGTAAATTTAGCGTCCAAAGATATGATATCATGTCCACATGGTATTAAAAACTCCTGAACGTTTCTTGGGGTAAACAATACTATGTCTACAAGGTATCATATCCCTCTGAGGAAAATGGACATGATATCACATTTTATTACCTTATCTTCCTTATTTTTGGGAATAGAACATAGTATCATATACCACTGTATAGAGCAAAAATTCTACATTATTGATATGGTATTAAGTCAATTTCATGAAAAATGGACATAGTATCCTTTACCTCCGGGTACAGAGTATTGGTTCATTTTTTAGAGCCAAATAAATTTGCCACCCACAATTTAGGACTTTTTTAATTATGATTATTTTGGAGATTTTGTAATACGACAAAGCAGCTTTGGTGACTATTGTCGTTGTGTCATATTGACACTTAAATTTTGTTTACCTATGATTGATCATGGTTCTTAGTGTTCAAGATTGTGCGAAAGCCGTTGCTCTGGTTGAAGATGGGCGAAATTATAATTATGTGGCTAGAGTACTACCCACTCATCGCTTTACCATCCAAAGGGTAGTGGAACGTTTTATAAGAACTGGAACAAAGAAGCGTAAAGCATGAAGTGGCAGGAATCGTAAAACTACCGCTTTAGATGATCGTTTTATACGAGTCAACACTTTACGGGATTGTCATTTAACAGCGGTGCAAACAAGAAATCAGCTTCAAGAGGTTCGAGGTAATAATATAAGTGTATTTACAGTTCGTTGAAGATTCCACAGGTATATGGACTTCTGTAAAAACATGACACAACCAGCACATACTAGCATAAACGGCATTCAAATTGAAAAAGTATCAAGTTACAAATACTTGGGGACTTCAATAAACGAAACTGGAGACCAAAACAATGAAATAAAAAGACGTATCGAAATTACCAGGGTCACCTTCATAAAAATGAGGAAATTCTTCTGCAACAGAGATATAAGTATCCTTTTATGATTAATAATGCTAAGGGGCTACGTATTTAACACGCTATAATACGGTGTAGAGGCCTGGACTCTCAAACAGAAGAACATCAAAAATTGAAAGTTTCGAGATGTGGTGCTACCGTCGAATACTGAAGATAAGTTGGGTCACAAACTTTGAAGTAATACGAAGGATATGAAAAGACCCAGAAATTTTGTCAACGATCAAACGAAGAAAACTCGAATATTTGGGTCACCTGATGAGAGGACATAAATACGCAATACTATAATGCAAATATAAATATAAGTATAATACGCAAAATATAATGCAAGGAAAAATAGAAGAAAAACGGAATCCAGGCCGTAAAATAATGTCATGGTTGCGTAATTTGAGAGAGTGGTTTGGCTGTACCACTAATGAACTCTTTAGGTCAGCTGTAAACAAGATCAGAATAGCCTTGATGGGAACATTTACATTGGAGTTTAAGACAATGGAGTTATGTTCTTTTTACGGACGAATCGAGATACTGTCATACTGAGAATGAGTCTGAGAATGAGAATGAGAATGAGATATGGCGTCGAACTGTAGAGAGATTTGCGAAGTGCGCTTTCAGTCCCCACGTTTGCCATGGCGGTATAGAGAGGAGAAATTTTAGCGAATCATATAGTACCCTGTTCTCAATATACAGGCGATGATTTTCTATTTATGCAAGATAATGCGCGACCCCACTCTGCAATGCGTGTCACGCAATATTAAGAGAAAGTTGTTATTAATAAAATAACACGCTGGCCAGCGTGT